AGAAATCGTGGGCAAAGGACCCTTAAAATCAATACTGAGACGTTGAAAAGGCTCTGTAGCTTTAATTAAATGACTATGTGCATTATTATATCGCGGCTTAATTTCTGCACATATAGGACATGACGCCGTAATAGATTTTACGTCATTAATCGAGTATGGTAAATTCTTTGTTCTAATCCAATGCCACATTCTTACCACACCTGGATGGCACAATAATTTATGTAAGTCATATAACTTGTTAGTACTAAGGCTAGCGCAAACTCTAGACAATGTATCGGCGGAAACGTTTTCTTTGCCCGGCCGATATACTATATCATACTTAAAGCAAGACAATTCTAGCCGCCATCTTTCAATTTTCTCATTTTTGATCTTGCTGTTATGTCTCTGATTTAACATAAAAGATACTGATCTTTGATCTGTCACTAGTAAAAAATGTCTGCCAACTAGAAAATGACGCCATTTTCGTAAAGACTCAACGATAGCATAGGCTTCTTTTTCAATAGAAGAATGCTTTTTCTCGGCGTCATTTAATGATCGTGAAAAAAATGCCACTGGCCTTTCATTTTGAGACAAGGTTCCAGCAATAGCGTATTCTGATGCATCGGTTTCTATCGTTAAGAGATCAGTTTCGTTTATACTTATCAATGCTGCCTTAGCGATATCTCTTTTAAGTTGTTGAAAACTGTCACTTAGCTCCGTATTGAGTGGTAATTTTGCTCGTACGAGTGGTTGAATTTTAGCTGAAAAGTTAGGCACCCATTTTGAGTAATGAGCAAACATTCCAAGTGCTCTCTTTAAGGAAGCAGTATTATTAGGTAAAGGTAAATCCATTAATGGCTTTAGACGACTTTTGTCTGGTGTAATTATGTTATTACTAATTGTATATCCTAATAGATTAATAGTTTCACTTGCAAAAGTACACTTATCTTTATTAAGAGTTAGATTATATTTAGCAACCGCTTCCATGAATTTTGATAAGTTCTCATCATGATCTTCTTTTGTTTTCCCACAAACTGTAACGTCATCTAAATAAGCATACGTCCCCTTTAGCTTCTCTTTTTGTATGACGTACTCTAAAGTTCGTTGAAAGGCTGCTACTCCATTAGTGACGCCAAACGGAATGCGAGTAAATTGATATAAGTTCCTGCAAGCTTCAAACGCTGTAAATGGTCGTTCTTTCTCTAATATTGGAACTTGGTGGTAAGCAGATTTTAAATCAATTTGACTAAAATAGTTATATCTTGACACTTTAGATATTATTGAATCAATTTTTGGTAAAGGAAAGGCATCTAATTCAGTATAACGATTTATGGTTCGGGAATAATCTACCACCATTCTCCTACGATGTGTAGTTCCACCCGTTACTAGAACTTGAGCTCTCCATGGTGATACGCTTGGTTCAATAACTCCATCTTTCAGCAATTTTTCAATTTCATCTTTAATAAAATTTTGGTCATTTTCAGAAAAAGTTTTCGATTTAATTGCAACAGGAATTAATTCGGACGAAAGGTTAGAGAATATAGTAGCTGGAGGTACTGAAGCCTGCATTACATTGCATATTTGAAGTGGTTCTCTGTCTCCATCAAATTTGAATTCTAAAGATCTGTGATGTTTTAAAATATCATGCCCAATAATAACATCTGCACATAGGTTATTTATTATAAGCAATGGATGGCGCGTGTAACTATGTTCATTCAATTTTATTGTAGCATGACAAAGTCCGTTAACGTATGACATCTGATTCAATGATGCGAATGATACTGCTTGGGTTACTCTTTTCATTTTAATATTCATAGATTTTACAAGCTCTGCGTTGATAAAACTACATGAACTTCCGGTATCAATAAGAGCATCAGCTCGGAGATCATTTATTGTGACTGGAATTGTTGCTTTTATCAGATTACCCGGAAATGCAGCCGAAATACATGCAGTGCCGTCATTTGTTTCTTCTATGTGACTATCCTGGTGTATTATTGCGTTCGAAAAACTTGTATTTTGCTTAGCAGAGCGACAAACATTAGCAAAGTGGCCTTTTCTGGAGCATAATTGACAATTGACATTATAAGCTGGACACTTTACTCGCTGGTGAATACTCTCCGATCCACAGAAAAAACACCGCCTTTTCCGTCGCGTAGCAATGGCTAAATTCTCATTCGACGATGTTGAATAAGGTATTTCACTGACAGCAGCATTGATTTGAGTCTTTAAAACTGAGCTTTCGGTAATTGCATTATTATCTTTCTCAGCGGATTCAAGTGTTACGGCCTGCTTCACAGCATCATCTAATGATAGAGTTTTGTTCTCTAAAAGTCGTTGACGAATTTGTTTTGAACCTATCCCCGATATAAAGGCATCTCGTATATATTCTTGTCTATATTCTTCTGCTGTAACACTTTTGAAGGTACATTCATGAGCTAAATTTTTTAACATTTGTATATATTCAGCTATCGATTCACCTGTCAGTTGTTTTCTTGTGGAAAGTACATGACGAGAGAATATTCCGTTTTTAGGTTTTATATACGCATCATTCAATAATTTTATAGCATCTTCAAACGTAATACAATCTCTTATTATGGAAAATATTGTAGGTGCCAAATGATTAATTAGCAAACGTAATTTCAACTCAGTAGAAATATGAGGACCTTCTTCGTTTAAAAAGTTAGTAAACGTAGCTAACCAATGGTTCCATTTGAGATCGGCCATCACAGAATTCGGTTCAGATTCAAATCTTTCCGGTCGGAGATAGCGAGACATATTTGACATTTGTTTTGATATTTCTTCCGTAGAACTTTCAGGTTTCTCCTTCGACATTTTTATCAGCTTTCTTTATGTTGATTAAATTGATAGCAATAACCAATTTATCATTAGAATATTGGCTTTAATCAACATAAAAATATTAGTTACATTAGACATATACTGAATTCATATTGACAAAGTCAAATGAACAATAGACAACATATTAATACTACAAAGATCGTATAAGTTTAAAAAAAGACCTGAAAAAGGATTTTGACTTCTTTCAAAAAATATGGATAAAGTGACAATGTCATGTTAGAACAAAATTAAGTAAAAAAATTCTTGTAAAAGATCTATTAGAATATGTGGACTTAAAAATTATTGTCATCGTTATACACTGATGGAAATCAATATATTAATAAAGAACACTGTAAAGAAAGAGGAAGAGGAAACTTACTGAGACGCAGATGGAAAGGTGGGTGTCCATTTCTCCTGTATAAAACAAGACTCGATATCCTATGCTATTTTAAAAGAAATATCTTAAATTCCTACCAATTAAAATATTCGATTGTACCATATCTGACAAATGATATGACAACTGATCTCTTAACAAAATTCTTACCAGGGTACATTCAGTTTAGGAATGGTACTGAGTAATTGTTTGTTTAATTTGATATTTTTGTCCATCGTATAAATATAACGTCATCTAAGCGTATTATTATTTAAAATTTTGTATTTTATAAATTAAGGGGTTATTAAGGGGTGTATTCTAATTGAAAAAAAAAACGTTATAAATATAACTAAAAATATTTTTATTGACACCCGTCATCAGTCGTCATGAACAACATGTATCGTTTGCTATGTGATGGTCATTAAAATTTGGGATAAATCATCGGTTGCACAAAAGTCCTTTTAAGATCTAACAAATATCAAATTTGTATGGGTAATGTCGCTTTAAACTAATGGATGTTTGTGTAACTTGCTAAAAGAGATATTATTTATAGATTGTTCATTTTATTCCGCCGCGGCCAATAATAACTCTTATATCTTAGTATTTTTTGAGAATTCACATTTTATATTGTACCATAGTAGTTTTGTCCAAATTATTTGAACGTTGTTTTTTGATACAAATCTAAATGATCAGTCATTCTTGACGTGCGCACCCTCTTAAGCTGCAAATAGTTGTGGGAAAAACGTCATTGACTTGTAAACATTTGTTTTTATTTATTTTAATGACATATTAATTGTGACAAATTTAATCAACTTTTCATACACCATATTTTCTAATTAAATGCACGTCTTTCACTCAAAGACTCTCATTAATAATGATAGGTGAGACACCCACATGTGTTTATTGTTTTGAATATCATTTGCATTTATTTGTATACAAGCTTAAGAAGAAAAAGTCCTTGAAAAAAAAGGATAGTATCAATTTATTGCTTGATCGAGGATAGGCGTAATTCACTATTTGCTCGCTAATCCCGTGTTAGAAAATATTAACTTTCTCTCTGTGACTTCGCCTGTTAAACCGCACATGATGTAGCTTCCCGTAGGAGAAAGAATTTTCATGATCGAATCAGTATTTACGAGGATTATGAACAAACAAACCTTTCTTCTTTATGATGTTAGTATAGATAACAATTGATATTTGTTGTGTTAACTGCAAAAGATTTCATTTATAAAAATCAATAATATAATTGGGGACATTAGTAGGGCTATGATAGTTGATAGCATCGTTCAAACATGATTAGCTATAATTTTATTTGATGAAATTCCAGAAAAGGGTAGTTACTTTTTAATATTGCATATGAACTGCAGATGTCTTTAATGAAATACATTCAGGTTTCAGGTTTTGTGCTAATATATTGGGAAATAACTTACTTAAAGATCCAAAAATATAATAAAATAAACATGATTTTAGAGGTGAGTAGCAAATTTATAATGTAAAAACAATATTCGAAAGTATGTCCTCGAGCGTGTAGAATACGTAAAAAGTGCAGCGCCCTTTTAAAAACATCTAATGTATTAGTTCCCAAAGGATGAAGAAGGTATATTGAGTAAACGGTAATAGCTAATTCATCACTGTATAATATTATATTTAAGTCCTTGTTTTATTTAAAACAGCTAAAAGGTGATGGACCTGTGGAATTTATTTGACACTTCTACTCGTACTCAATAACAAACGTAACAAAACTTGTTACATAAGATGGAGCCAATCAACTTTGGGAACCACTGATGTAATTATAAATGTGTCGTTGTTGCAGGCCATCGTTTTGGGGTCAGCGCACCAAGCTGGAAAAGCGGCTGATGCTTGTGGCCGGCGTGGCCTCCATCCTCGCAATCGCCTTTCTTGCCGCCTTCATCGCGAGCATACTCATGAACACCTCCGCTGACTTCAACAGTAAGCCCCCTTAATTTATCATCATCACTTCCGCTACCAATTAACAACTGATCGTTCACGAAAGACTACCGATGTAGTATAATGCGGCTTATCGTATACTGTCGTTACAATCCATCCGCAAATTTTCTTCTTTACATTAATAACATAATGTTAAATAATTGCATGTAGGTATATTCTAATGTGACAAGTCACCTTCACATCGCTCGAGACTTTTTAATCATTCCTAACTTGTCAAGGTAAATACTTAATATTTTTGCAGTAAAATTAAAGTCAAAATTCACTGGTTAGGGTTTATGTAAAATTTTACAGTTTCTTTCATCCTGACTTTAATATTTACTATTCCACAGTCAATTTACACCATCCTCTTTCTTGGCATAGTAAAAAAATCATTTTAACCAGTGAAACTTAGGTGGTTATAGTTTACAGTTAAAGCTATGACGTGCTCTGACAATTGACAAATTATAACTAATGCTTGTTATAATGTGTATAACATTTAATTTGATACCCGAAATGGTAAACATTGACCTACAATTGAAGTCACTTTCGTAACATCTATACAGTAAAACATTTGCTATTTATTATGTATGGTTGTACGCGAATTCAACGCCATGTATATTGCTATTGCTGAATAGCAATTAGAGAAAATTGTAGTGATTTAAACGGGTCAACTAAAAGAAACCACGTGCCGGAGTGTGATAACGATCGCAATTATTGAAACACTATAAAAATTTACATTTATCAATGAGGAAAACAAACCATTTAGAGCTATAACTATTGTATTTATTGTACTGTTCGATAAACATCAATACGACACTCAAGTGCGTTATCTAAATAATTTTATTTATTGCCACAAAACTATACTAAGGCTTTATTCGAGAGACTAAAAAAGAAACAAATTATCATTCAATGCCGAAATATCTTCTCAATGTTCGTTACTGGAAAATAATAATGAAATACTTTCATAACAGTGATTATTATGTGTATGAAAGTAATGATTGTCTGAAAGCCATTATTAAAGTCAAGTCACCTAAGCTGATGTAAACAAAAGGATAACAATTAAAATAAATGAAGCAATAATGTTAAGGTATCCAAAATAAATCCAGTACTGGGTGGTGGAAAAACAAAAGGCAACGTATTATTTAATGTTATATGTGTTGGTGCTGTTTGTTTCCCGCTCGCTTTCCCCTGAATTTCCGGTCCATGATGGATCGGAAACGGGTTCCATACGGCCGGCTTTAGGGCTGCTGCTGGCTACTCTTATAAAAGTTTTTTTAATTGACAATACTTCTCGTACTAATTAAAATGACACCTGAATGCCTATTCTATTTCTACAAAAACAAATTTTTCGACTCTAAAGTATTTTTCTATAACTTACGATAAAACGCATGTTTCACCTAACACTGCCTCCAATACACAGATAACCTTCACGGATATGTTTTAAATAAAATTATTGGAATCGAGGACAAAATGAATAGGCCCTCGGATGTCATGTTAGTACGAGTAATATTTCAATAGTGCAGAGAGACGGCACTACATATTTTAAATACATAGGTATGTGTATTGTTATTAAAAAAAAAAACAAAACTGACCTAGTAAAAGTTTATGACTATACTACGATGAGACTTTTATCTCGCTGACTGAATAGAATAATCACAAAAAAATTTTTTAAAACCTAGAATTTGAGAGAGAACACACCGTTATATACAATGGTGACAACTAGAAATCATGATATGATTCTATACATAGAACACAGAAAGACGTTTTCCGTGTTCTGTGGTTCTATAGAATAGGTAATTTAGGTATGTAATCTGTTTATAATAAATACAAAATATTTTACGCTTCCTTATAGCAAGATTCTTATATTTTACGCATTAATCAGATCTTCTTTGGAATATTTGGAATATGGCAGTGTGGTGTAGTCTCCTCGTTACGAAGTACATATTTAATGAATAGATTTTTAGGGCATTTGTCTTTTCTACATAATATGGGTAAAGAGTTACCTTCATATAAAAAACGATTATGATATTTTAAAGTATCTAATAAAAATGGCAATTCTATTTGAAAATTAGGAAATATTTCATGCGAGAACCATTACCAATCAATGATTCATCTTTATCACCTTAATTAAACGAAATTACGTATTGCTTTTGTATCTTAAATATACTGCGATATCCTAAATATACCTAATATGATAGAGATATTATATACTTATAAATTTTTCATTGTATATTTAAGAATTTGATAAGGAATATATACGATAAAAATATAAGTAAAAAGATGGGACTTTGACAGAAAATGCTACAGTAGCTTAATGATTGCAACTTCCTCCTATTAACCGATTCTGTATTTATCATTATTTGCGTTAATAATCATCTAATAATAGGTATTTACCAATGAAGTTATCGTTCTGCCGTACCGGCCATTTCTAATTAAAACATTGTTTTTTTGTTTTGGCTGATAATTCTAATTTAAAATTTATTTTATTTTAAAAACTGTTTAATAGTATGTGTTTTCTTTTCAACACATTCGAATATTTTTCATCGTCACGGACAACTTAATCATTCGAGTAATTATGGAGTATGAGTACTGTCGTGGTAGCAAAGCGGCACAAGCAGCACGCAACATCAACGACGTATACGGAGCGAACACTACAAACGAACGCACCACCCGTAATTAGTTTTTCTGCTTCCGTTCTGGTAATTCTGACCTGAAAAATGAACCGCTCAACAGGTATACAAATGAAGGAATTCTGAACCGCATTTTTACTTATGACGAGAAATGGATCCTGTTCGACAATCGTAAGCGCTCAGCAAGAAAGTTGGACCTTGATTCAGCACCTAAACGAAAACTTACCCCTAGAAAAGTGATGGTTACTGTTGCGTGTTCTAACACGGCAGTAATTCATCACAGCTTCTTACCAAAAGCGACGAACATTACTGCAGATGTGTACTATGAACAACTCAATACACGTTTCCAACCAGTTTTGGTCAATCGTACGGCTCCACGGCTCCTGCACGACGACGCGCGACCTTATACTGCACAGCAAACATTCTCCAAGGTACAAGAGCTGGGTCGGAAGTTCTCCGTTATCCACCGTACTTACCAGACCTTGCGCCTACAGACTTCTACTTTTCCAGAATTTGGATAACGTCTTGACGGAAAAAAAACAATTCTCGAGAGGCAGTACAAAATGCCTTTGAAGAATTTGTTGCCTCCCGTCCAGCTGATTCAAATCAAATCAAAATTATTTATTCAGTCTAGGCTGTTACAAGCACTTGCTAAAGTCGAAAGCTACGCCATTGGTTCGTAAATCTACAGCGGGAGACCTTGTACCGAGAAGAACCGGCAAGAAACTCGGCAAGGGCTGCTTTTTTCTCCCTGTTTTATTTCATACAGAGCATCAAGATTGAAAAATAACTTCATTAAAATATGAAGTCACTTTCCATTACAATATTACACAATATAAGAGTAAAACAGTATTTTCGTCAATCCAATCACATATGTAGCCAAAGAAGCTCACCGATCAACAATTTAATATATATGAAAAATGAGCCATATTTAACACCAAGCAGTTTTGTCAATTTCTTCGAGAAGGGCATCAATAAGCTACCAATGCGTTGGCAAATTCATTGATTGCATGGGTGATTATTCTGATTAATAGAAATAAAAAATATAGAAAAAAATACGCCTCAGTTATTTCATGAAAAAAGGCAATTACATTGATAAAGACCTAATATTAGACAAATCTTCCTTAGGACATTATCTTAACTGGTTATCTGAAATTTGAAACACCGCAAAAAATATTAAAAACTTTAATAGAAAGTAATTATAAAATAAAACTATTTAACATAAATATTGGGGGATTAAATCATTGCTGATATTTTTTAGATTATGCAAATTAAATGAATAATTAGGATGCTGATTTACAGCATTTTTTTCTAGGCCTGTAGATAACAATTTTTACAACATATTTTTGACACAAAATCTCTTCAAAATCACTTTGAGCGGGAAAATTATTATAAAATTGGTAACCTAATTTTTAAATAGCCATCGAATTGCACGTCGCAACGAAAATATATATTATCGTATCGATTCCTGCAAAACGGAAAACGTGTTTGAGCGTACATGACGGTCGGATTTGATTGAATTTGCACATCACTGCGCAAGAATCATCTTGTGGAAACCATTCCAACATAGAGATCAATTTGTCGATTTGAAATTAAACTAGAAAAAAGTATATATATCGAACGCTAATATCGCAACATTACGCTCGACTAAACTACAACAAAATATCACAACTGACAAATATTTCTTAACACGTTAGATCACATTATGTGATGAAATGGCTACGGTCCGGTGGTCTAACTCGCGTCAAGTCGGACATTCGGATATAACAAAAGTTACTGCTCAATTTTCTCGTGAAAAATTGTGTCAATAAATTTCAACACTTTAGGTTGGTAAACAAAATGAAAGTTAACATTTAAAAATTCTTACTGGTAATAGAATAATCATGAAGTTTCTAATTCTATAATTGCATCGTGACATTTTAATATCTCACAACAACCTATTTACTTGAAACGAGAATGGTCATTTCATCAGGACGTAGTCACGTGCAAATGTAATCACAATACAATAATAGTTTATAGTAGATTTCTACTAAACAACAATGGTGTGAACTCTGTTTTGTAAATGGAAACAATGGACGTAATAAATAGGTGATGGTGAATAGGTTGAAGGGTAACGGATATTATGTATCCGAGTAAAATCCGTATTACATTTAAAAAAGTATTGTGAACATGTCCAATAAATGTTTCATTTTTTTCATGTTATAATGTAGTCCAATTTAGTCTCATAAATATTTTGACGTCCTATAGTATGGGATTGACATGAGATTTGACTAAAAAATGATCAATAATTTTCTTTCGTACGGATATTCCGTTTACGGTGCTGTCTCAGCAACAACATTAATTAAAGTTTCTTACAGGCGGAATCATGTGGTTTTCCATTTAGTTATCCGCTCTCCATGCATAACGTTACGCGATATTTTTTTTTTTTTGGTTGATTAGGTTAGATCGTGCCGGTTTGAATCTATGATCCATGCGAGATTGTTTCAAACCAATGACTTATATAATGGCGTTACACTATTTATAACGTAAAATCGAGATGGTAACCCTATTTTTACGATTTTTATTTTGATGCATTTTGTATTTACCAAAATATTTTCATATTTCATTTGAAAAATTAATAACAAAACCTAAACAAATTGTCAAGGGTCAGATTGTTAGGTTATGGCAATTATTTTAGCGTAAAGACAGTTTAGAATTTGATAATATAGTGTACATATAATAATAAAAATAAGTATTTCTTTGATAACGCTAATGTTTTCATAATAGACGCCAACGATATACTTAGCAGAGAGGTATTACCTAAAGTTACCTGATAGAGCTACTTGTCTCTTTAAATTGGATTTGTTACAAGTGTAAAACCATCATCTCCCAAAACTGGGTAGGTATTCAACTAAAGTTCGTTTCAAGGTTGGGTTATTTTTTAAACAGGAAAATAACTTAGTTGCATTGGAGGCCAAGTTCAGAAGTAATAAGGTCAGTGCCGACGTCTCGTAGACGTTGGATCATGTGAATGGGTGACGTCATATGTAAAAACTTCTTTTTAGATTATGATAAAGGAATCATAAACGAACATCCATGATGAAAAAAGAGTTGCTATAAGTGATTCCACTTTCTTTGCACATTTGACTTTGTTTTAATCATTTTTCTCAAATAAAAGATTTTTATTCTTAAATATATATACTACCCTTCTGCCAGCGGCTTCGCCCTCGTGGTTCTATATAATGCAAATAAATTTTGTTTTTGAATCGCTCTATCTGTTGTTAAAATCCGTTGTGTAATTTAAAAAATCTCAGCGTACAGTCATCGGAAAGCGACTTTATTTTATACTATGTATAGATATGTCAATAAATATTTGTCACATATGAAATGTGGCGTAGGGTGAAACAATAAATAGTGCTAGTAGTACCTTATTCAATCCATAAAACGTAACAAATGCAAATCGAACTTGTGATTTACGACGTCACACAGTATTATTTTTGCCTTTTTATTTTATCGTTATACAAATTTACAAAAAATTAAATAAAATTCAACATTTCATATAGTATTTCATTAAAAAAAGAAACATTTATCATTTTAAGGATTAGCTTTAAAAAAGTATTAAGATCGCTTTACATAAATAATATAAAAGCCATTACGACCTTCAAATATCATCATTAATGATATAATGTTACATAAGGTTGCACTAACTAATTAAATTTAGTTAAATTCTGTCAAACTGAATTTTTAATTCTGAAAATAACTACACCTCACTAAGCCTGATCCAAGATCCAAGAAGTAGCTCGGTGGTGTAGTGGATAAGGCTGCGGCCCGCGATTGTTGCTGTTAAGTAACTTTTGCAAGGGGTCGATCACGGGATGGATGACCAAAATTTATTTTCTCCAGCTCCTCCGTGCTTCGAAAGGCACATTAAGCCGTTGGTCTCGGCTATATTAGCAATCGTTAACTCCCTCCAATTCTCATTGGGACAGCGTGGAGGGTCATGGCCAATCCTCCTTAACCATCTATAAGGAAGGAACCGTGCAGTGAAAACTTGAAAGAGCTGATGATTATGATACTCTGTAACCATAAAAAGGTTGGATTTACATAAATTACTCAAGAATAAAGTACGAACCACCAAATAACTCATAGATGTCCTTTTATTTAAAATCAACAAATACAATTCCTATGCCATTTTAAAGATATATGATAGCTTATGAAACATCTACAACTGACAAAATATATAACAATCCATTTACAATGTTTAAAAAAAAGAACATTCAACTACGGATCTTCCCGATTACATTCTTATAATGAAGCTTATCGAATCAAAAATAATTTAATTTAAATATTAAAATTCTACCAATTCAATATGGCGACATTAGTGCCATGCAGACTTCCGATAGCAAAAACTGGTCTGAATATTCCTTTGAATAGAAATATCATCAATCTGTCGAATCGAAGAAAAACAGAAAAAAATACCTTAGTAATAATTAAAATTTGTCACTATAATATTTTAATATCAAAACTGTTAGTGGATTATGGTTGAGAAGAGTACAAAAAGATATCAAGACTTCTAAGTGCTTAAGGGATATTTTAAGTTACCTTATTACTCGTATAAAAAATAATATAACATCCATCAATGTTAGCATTATCATAGTTTGTGCATTGTTATAACTATCATTACTTCTTAATAGTTACTGGCACATTTTATACTTAATTATAAGATTTTACTAGAAATTATTTTTTATTACTAGAATAAAGAAAGATCATAGATTTATTATATTTCCTAAAAATCAGTCTTTAATCCTCGTTCCTGTTGATGTCAAATTATATTCTAGATGTCTAGAGGCTATAACAGCTAACAGTTTGGTCATTGGTGAAAGCGCAATTTTCTATAATGGTACAGGAATTGAATGACCGACTGTATACTTGAGTCTTATATTTTCACGCGCACTTCTCATTACATAAATCCACTATTAGACGGCGTGTATTTTTGAAAAAAAAAATTCTATTTTACGTCGTTTTGTATCTTTATAGTTTCCGTGTTCACTAAGATTAAGTTAGTCATCTTTTAATAATAAAAAGTATTCAAACAATATACTATACTTTTAATAAGCACGGAACCGGCATGGGATCTGAAATATCTGAAAAACTAAATTACTTTTTTTTTAATTTCATGCAATAAAACCGTTTATTATTTAATGTAATAGTTTTATTTAATGACCAACTGCACTCAGTCATCGAGGATTATGTAGACTAAACTATAGGTATTAAACGTACAACCAGTTTATTACAAAACATTATGTTATGTTCACGACTTACAACTGGATGAATTTCTTTCCGCAATATAAATCTGCTAACGTTATTCATGAATCTGACACTTTTTATTTAAAATGAAATAATACAAATGTTAATTTTCGTTAAAAATCTTTTATTTAATTTCATCCAAATCACGAAATAGTAAATAATGATTCGAATTATGACGATAAAAGGTATGTTATTTAAATACAAGACTGTATTTGAAAGTACATCGATCTAGCTAGAGATGCTAGCCATAGACTCGCTCACTCGGGGGCCGATACGTAACATTTGTAAGGTGTAAACTTTACCTTATTTAGAAGTAGCATTACGTTATCTGTAGGAAAACCACAGATTTTTTTTTACTTTTTCGTGGAAGTAATGAATAGATGTCTTAAAAATTATTGATTGTAATTTAATATGTAAGTCATAAAAACGTATAATCTAATAAAAGAACTTATTAAGACAGGATATTAAATTATAATGATATTTATGTTTCATGTGTTTTCATAGAAATAAAAAAATTAATGACAATTAATAATAAGCATTATTAATTTATTGCTATTAAAACATAAGTATTCATAAGTGTCTATTAACATTTTGATAAGGAAGACGTTAATTACTTTAGGTAACCGTATCGTACAAAGTGTTTCATCACGTTTCTTAACTTCTTTTCAATTTTGTTACTATTGACGTTGAGTTAGATGTAAAGCGATGTGAAGGTTGACAAATTCTTCTTGGCATTGAAGTAGCATAGTAGGCAATGAAGTTTGTTAAACGAACACGAAAATGCATAATCATTTGCATAATGAAGCATCCTCGTTTATCATTCACCCATACTGAATGCACAGCCGTATGACATTTTTTAACAAAACCAATTGATAATAGCAGAATTTCTATATCTTGGGAGCTATCTTTTGTGGCTGTTTGTCCTAAGTCCTGGAATATATCTTTTTTATTTTCTGAATTCGGTCCGTCCTTCCTACCCTACCTTCCTACCAAAGAATCGGCCTGAAGATATAGATACCCATGATAAAAGAATCCAAAAATATTGTTAAAAAGTGTCAATCGAAGCTGATATTTAATCATATCACTCATTCATAGCATGTGTCTGCATTTTTAGACATGCCACAGACTAGTGAACTGAGACTTTCTTCACCCATGCCGCCAGTCGCCATTGCTAAGGAGGGCGAAAGCAATATTTGCAGCTCTCCAGGATGTATACACACAGGTATGTTTAATCAAATAACAAAACTAATGTTAATAGTAAAAAATATATATATTAATTCTTAAATATTTAGTTTAAACTGCTCCTTTTCCTGACAATGGTCAACGGAGGATTACGACTCATTAATTTCTATTGTTTTATTAAAATAATAAAACTGATTACAAATATGTAATCTAAAACATAAATTCTTAATAATATAAAATTTACAAATAAATAATATAAATTTACTTCTTTCCTTATAGTGCTCAGCAGAGGGTTATATTATTACTTGTTTATTCGTTGCCAAGCAAGTATTTAGGAACGCCTTTTTATAAATACTAAAAACAATCTTTAAAGATATTTTGCTTTACTGCAGGCACAAATAAACATATTCGAGTTTTTTTTTATTTAATTATATTTATCATTGTATATAAAAACGCTGTAAGCTTCTGTCATATGTTTATCATTCAGTTTCGAAAATCGTGATGGCTTACATATTGGACGACTACAGAAGGGTACCATAAAAACGAAATCTTTCTTTTGTTGACTTTTACGAATTCTCCGAGATGACATACAGCTGGTTGGCACGTTTTTTGTTTTCCTTTCGCATCTTGTCGGCGTGATAGACGACTGAAGATAATATGTAGGTAGTTATCTATTTCCAAAACAGTATTTACACGACGCATGGTATGCTGTTTTGTTTTTTACAATCTACAGAGCAGAGTATCCAAAATTTTCACTACAATTGATTTTAATTCAAATTTAAATCAGTTTATTCTGTCTAGGCCACTAGTCGACAAGCTTATGATGAGACGCAAGAGTCAAAGATTCAATATGAAAAGTTTGATAGTTGTTTAAATTTAATTTTAATATTATTTTAATTTACACTTCAGTATTTATTTAAAATAAAGTATTTTCAATATATCTCTCTCTCTCTCTGTCATAATTAGTATATCTGAATCGCATTATAGTTTGACAAAGAAATATTTTTGTAAATGGAATTCGAGACCTTAATATTGCACAAAAGTCCATTGAAATGGCACAATTTATATACCTAGATTAAGCAGAACAAAAGAGTAAGTAGTCTAAAGCAGAAACTGGACTATCAGCATACGTTCACGAGCATGACGCATGAGCCTGTCATCACTTTTATGCAATGTCTGTTAGTTTTAATGCCGTTTGATAAAATTTATCTTTGCCATGAAAAAAGGAAGTCCTAACTTGTTACAATTCGTTTTCTATATGTCAGCATTAAAGTTGCTTGCAATGATTCAATTTTTTTAAAGAAAAGGATTATCTCTATGGCAATTTTTAATATCAGTCTAAAGGCGATAACACGTTTTTGACAGAACCATATCGATTTCATAGGCACATTTAGAATGGATGGAGGCACATTTGCATGTTGTGTTGTGTTATAACAAAAATATATCCCTTTCATTCTAATGAATGAAATAACACGCGAAACAATACGAAACGTAAATGTGTTGTCAATTTTATATTTATGTTAAAGTATAAATTACCAATTTTTCAATCATTTATCTACATATAAATCAATTATATTTCGTTACGTAATTTAAAAAAAAATCTAGCAATGCCGCGACCCGAAATTTAAATCATTAACACGTAACACGGTAACAACTCATTAGACTTATTTAAAACCTATTTCCCTACATAAATATGTATTGTAATGAATATACAATTAAACGAGTAGAACGTTGACCTGATAGCATAATTGATAAAAAACTGTTAATTATTTATTTAGTTTCTATTTTATAAGGTATCATTGTAATATACAGGAAACGTTTGTTTCCAATGCACAAATTTTAGTAAGGTCATCTTATGTAAGTAAGTCATCTTAAGGGATTGGTTAGGATCATTGGATCAATGTATTTACAATTTTGAATGTTAAATTTAATTATTTTCATTTGTATAAACAACACTTACACGTATATTTCAAAAGTAGTAAATAAACCGTAGTTACGTGTAATAACAAAAATTATTGAAACAAGCGACCTGTTTTATTTATAAAAATATTTTTCTTTTTTATTTCCGATGTAAGCAGTTTTAAAAAAGTGGCAAAGATAACGTGATTTGCCATAACGAACACGATACTGGATTTTGTGCACTGATTACAAATTGTTATACTAATTATAACGTAACAGTTTATTGTGCTATCTCAGTTTTATTTTTTAATTTTAAAAATGTATTTTGACAGAATTAAAACTATCTTAGTCTGTTTTTTGCCACCAGAACCGCCATCATTGTAATCCCAAAATTAGTTTAACAACAAATTATGGTTATGTTCACAGCCTCCAAACTTTTAATGAATATGGACGAAAAAGTGGATCCTTGTGATGATTTTTACGACTTCGCTTGCGGTTCGTTCGTGAAGAACACTCGTATACCGGACGACAAGACCTCTGTTAACACCTTTTCGATCATCACTGACCAACTGCAGGAGCAGATCAGGGCACTCCTCGACGAACCTGTGACACCCAATGAGCCGAGGCCATTCGTTTTAGCCAAGACATTGTACCAGGCCTGCATGAATAGAAGTAAGTGAAATAGTATATATTGAATTTCTATATTTTAATACTTATCCTTCGATCCCATAAATTCGCAATTACCTATCCGTATCTGTTTCTAAATTACAATCAAATTTGATTAAAGTAGTACTTATTATATCAATGATGCAAGCTAGATAGTTAAAAATTATTTCTTAGTAAGCAAGACACTAGATAATTAATTTGTAATTTTAGTGCCTTTTAAGAATTAAGTATTATAATAAAATATATGTGTTAGGTATTATTTATAGCATATAAAAATGTTAATGAAATACGATCCAGTATTATATATTTTAATATTAAAATGTTATACATATTTATTGAAATATATATATACAGGTATCGGCATTAGAATCATGAGGCAGACACTTAGGCGATGTGAATAACCATCTAGGTCCTTGGAATGCAAATAATATTAGCACTTATTAGCCTCTATAGTAACACAGCGAGAGAAAGAAAGAAATACGTAAATACTTCTTGCACTGGTTGAGCCTCGTAAAATTACCCTACCCATATAAATTTAGCTTTTGCGGCGTCTACAAAATTTAAAGCATTAGTAGTCAGTATTCGATGTAAGTCAGTGTCGTTTTTAAGAATTTTTACAACAAAAGTAATGATTGATAATTGTTCTTTTTAATAAAGTAAAGTTTTCCCGTCTGCATTTGGTTGCTTAATCGTAATAAATAAATTCCTCACGGATTGAGTAGGCTAAGACTGAAGACTTAAATAATTTATTCTATATCTGAATCACTAAATGTTATACTAAGACAAAGTGCCTTTGATCCGGCGACTGAGGATCACGAGGAAGATTTAAATATTTGTTTCGTTGAGGTTTTATGTAAATTGGCTGAAGTAAGACAATGGTTCTTGTAAATGTCTTAAAAAATATGCCAACACACTGCCTAAGTTTTAAGTATTTTTCGACTGCTCGAAAAAAGGGTCTGTCACCCTTTGATTTATCTATACTTGTGTCGATAATAAAGTATTCTTATATTTAGGGAGGAAACTAATATCTTTATTAATTTTATGATTTAAAACCATTTAAAGCTAATATTTTTATCGTAAATGTTAAAATAAAACCAGACAGGTTCTCAATAAATTAATGCATTCAGTATGAGAACGATTATATTTTCGCACTAAAACTGGTATTGAGGGAATTTGATCTTTAGCGTTTGACCTTATGCTCTTGTAACGATTTGTGCATTAAACAATTTGCTGTCGTCCTTTTTAAGCTTCACAGATATGTCTGATACCTACTCAATAATTGATCCTTTTAAGAGAGCGCGTACACCAAAAATAGTTTTGTAAAAAAAACACAATACATGTTAAGGGTTTTGTCACAGTCAAAAAGAGAATTTATAAATTCTTGTTGATAGAAATAAATCACAAAGCTAACTTCACCACTCTTTCTACTCTATTTGGGGAAAAATTATAAATATATGATTCGTTTTATAGCCACAGTCTTTATGGCAACGTTTATAAATGGTTTGCGTGTAATTAAAAAAACATACTTTTTATGCACAATTCGACATGTCCTTGTCTATCTCTACAGGGTGCAACAGGTCAGCCTTAAGCAATAAAGGTATAATTTCAATTATATGCACTTACGTTTATGGTATAAGATGCATTTATACAAGTACCAAACTTGCATACTTGAAGTATTCATCGGCAAAATAATCACTACCTAACAGCTATTTCAAGAAAGTGTGTGAATGACCCCCTTGACTAGTTTTATAACTAGTTTAAGATATAATACAACGGTCAATATTTAGGTAGACAAAGGATTTAGTTGTATCTAATAAAATGAAAGCCAGATTATATATTTCGAACAAAAATTCACGATGTGTACTAAATTGTAATCGCAAAGGATTTATTCTTAAAATATCCCGTAGACTTATAAAATATCCTTTCTAAGATACCATAGAATAACTACAAAAAACGAATAAGTGGTAAATTGTAAATAGTCTTTTCCCGTATTGTACACCTTATTTTTAGAGACAGAAAAAGTAAATTACTTCAATATTTTGGTTTGAATACCTGTTGAACTTTTAACTAAATACGCAATGTATTCATTGTTTATAGCATGTATTCAGTTTTGTTGATAAATAAATTGTCAAAATATCCTGTCGAAATGTGATTCAATGCATACACATACCAAATATTTACATATTTATATTTCCATTCTTTTAAGGGTACCTTACCTTACCTCGAAAGGAAAAAATGGAAAGTTAATTAGTACGAGATAAGGTATCAAGAAAACTGATTCCGTCTTATATAGAAAGAAGACTAACTTTCGTACCAGGTATAACCATTGTCCGACCAAAATATACTTATACATCTCAATTTGATGTTTTCTTTCTTGTCATTGTCAATTTGCTTTAAGCAGCCAATGGTTTAAGCCAAGTACTAACTTAAGTCTTCATTTCATGCTAAGATAGCATGTACGTTAATAAAACACACATAGTCTACCTAGCTAAGTCCTGATGTAGCTAGGCAGACCACGGGGCATCACTGTAATTTTGATTAGCTCTTTTAAAGTTTCCCTATTTCTTATTTTTGAAACCTGAGATCAATATACTATATATAAGGCATGGGACAAGTTTATAGAAAGAGCTATGATTTACCGAGGCCGAATATTATTGTTCTTCTTTTTATATTAATTAATTGTCTCATAAACTAGAAAAAGATGTGTCCACCTACACTTTTGTCTGTATGTCTATCAGTACGTTATCATCCGTCTGTTAGTTTATTTACTCAATCTAAATACTATTAATTTATTTCGATCAAATGAAATTTGATATTCCTACGTAGGTGATTTAAATAGGGACTTGTAAACTAAATAAATGATTTTAAAATATGCAGGCCACTTTTTCAAATCGAAAATATTAATTATTTTTATATGACTACCCCCGTGTATAATATAGATTCCCGTACGTGATCAGTATGAATATCTTTTAATGCTGACTAGACAAAACTTAATAAAATTTCCCAGTGCCGTACCCCATCACTATATATCAATATTTTATAATATTATTGAATACCTAACCAATTCATTGTATAATTAATCTGTCACCGACGTAGCAAGCCACATATAAAATCTATGGTTGCATTATATTTAAAATTATAAAAAAAAGAAAGAATAAATGAGTTCCCAACATAATCAATCTAAAGCGATCTGCAGTACCACTAAACGCCGCTTTGATATTCATAAAGATACTTCGCCGATAACTTTTATAAGACAATTTCTATTTTAAACTCTCTCAATGAAGCCTGTGAAATAAAATGATTTTCATAATCACATACGTTATTTACCGAATATAGAGAATATATTGCTTTGACCTATTTATGTGTGAGTATTGATTACTGCTACAAAGATTTAGGAAGCCGAATATTTTTTTATATAGTCGTTTATACAACTGCGTGTTTCAATTATTGCTATATTGGTTATATGATGCTTCTACATATAACGCACTAGCTGTTTTCCCACGACTTCGCCTGAGTTAATTTTCATAGTCTTATCCGTTTTTGTCGCGTTAGTGATTCAGACCGAAACAAATAAAAATGTAAGAAACCTTATCTCTATAAAATATTAGTACAGAGTATACATGCAGTGAATTATTAGTTAAGGCAATACGGATGTTAAGTAACGTTCGCAAGGTCCGGTCATAGGATGGGTGACTAATAATCGTCAACATCTGCCAATCGGTACTGGGACCGCGTGGTGTGCCATGACCCAGTCTCCCTATTCGATTCGATTACTGATATCTATGAGATTGAATTACACTCATGGTCGTCATTAAAAATAAAAGATGTCTTAGAAAGATTATGTATCTTATTGTTTCCCAAGCTCATTAGAATGTTCCTGCTACTCCGTAATTAAGTTATCACGAGTCACAGTAATTCTATTTGCAGAATCTAAATACGATTTACTTAACACTACATAATTAGTTACCACAATAATTATTTAACTGTGTTGTTACTTAAACCAGTTGTACCGATAATGGGAGTGAAAGTTAAACTTAAGTGATGTTTCTTCCGCGATTTGCACAACAACGACGTAATTGACAACTGAATGAACATTGAACAGATTTACCAAAGAATTCTATAGTATGTTTTTGCTTTAATTTGATAATGAGCTCGAGGACGCAGTAGTTAGCGTGTTCAACAAAAGGAACTTTCGCAATTTTGCTTGTGTCAAAAAAGGTTCCGTTTGTAGGATGGGTGACCAAAATTTTATCATCTTGAGTCCCTTCGTTTAAGTTGGTCTTCCGATTCCAATGTTTAAATAAGGTACATTACACAGTTTTAGTTCATTAACTACATATGTGTATGTCAATCTGTCCAGCGGTACCAGAATAATTTACTGTGACAGAAAGACAAGCAGACAAACGAATGATCATATAGGTAACGTTTATTTATTTTGGCGTACGCAACCCTAATTAAAACTAAATTATTATTAATGAAAATATAAACTTAGGACTACAGCGTAAAAAGTAAGTGGACCAACGTCTTACGCTAATAGCCATTTTCGCCATTATTTGTCCCAAGTAGGTTTATTATAGCTTGGGCTACTTTCTCCCACACGATTGTCTTATCAAGACACGTCCGACTATTGAATATAAGAACTATATAGATTTTGAATATAGCAGCATGAAAACCATACACGCCCTTAAAAAATGAGGGTTTTTTTTTAACCTTAAAATTAACTATACGTACAATATCTACAAGAAAATAGTTCCACTAAAATTACCAGTGAACATAAAAATTCGGAATAAGACGAAACAAACTGAGCTGTCTCATTTAAGATTTTCTAAGTTTAATTGTCTGCAAGATAATATACTCGTATTTACTGGAATGCATTCCCGTAATACAGTTAGGTACTCATAAAAGTACGGAAGAAGGCACGGTGATACACCTTATTGGAAATAATGTTAATCAGAAATCATTTTGATTGATGACAGCTGCGATTGAATCGCGAGGAGTACAGCCGCTTAAGGATATGCTGCGCCGATTAGGCGGTTGGCCGGTCCTAGATGGCAACAATTGGAACGAGGGTGGTTTCTCGTGGGAGCAGTCCGTCTACAAGTTCCGCAGGGCCGGTTACTCCGTCGACTACTTCCTCGACTTCTCCATCAGCGTTGATGTCAAGAACTCCACTAAACGGATCATCGATGTAAGACCCCTTGACTCTAATGACACGGTCGGCCGACTCATCACCACTTGTTACGTCACTGTCACATCATTATATAAGTGAAAACAATAAAATCCACTTAACGTTGACTTCGAGATTGCTTAAGTGATTGTAATCCGAAACTGTTGATGATTTCGAAATCAACGTTGGTGTTTGCAACATGCGAATAGTTGGCTGTGCGAATTTTAAGCGTCTGCGATAATTTTTTCTTAACATTATCATTTTCGTTTAGAATGTATCTATTCGTAACTTCAACAGCTCGACCAAGCCTCGCTCGGACTCAGTCGAGAGTACCTGAATCGAGGCTTCAGCGACAAGTTAGTCCAGGCCTACTATGAGTACATGGTGGACATTGCTACCCTACTGGGCGCTGAAAGGGCTCGTGCTGAAGTCGAGCTTAAAGATTCGTTGCAATTTGAAATGAAACTGGCTAACGTAAGTACCTACTTATTTGAGGAAAGCATGAGGTGTTTACTATTGATTTTGATATGCATAAGTAATGATTAACACAAGTGGGTATAAAATATGGGATTCGTCTTTTAACTGAGATATGACGTTTCTTAGGTGATTCAAGAGACTAATTGGTGACGTCAACTTGCTCGTCCGTTGACGTCATCAAATATGATCAATCAATTTGTTGAAATAAAAATGAAATGCTGTCCGTTCATTGGCAAGCGCGTCACTCAAGCATGAGATACTTATTTTATTCTGATCATAAAAAATATGATCAGATTTGATCTAAAAGATTGAAAGATATAAAAATACTCAAAATGTTTATTCTGTGGTAAAGAAATAAATATTATTATACAATTTTGATTGAAAAGAATAAAGGCTATACTGTTGCATATATGCCCACCTAACTAGGCCTCACGTAAAACAATCGCAACTTTACGACGCCACAAAGAAGTGATTTTTTACGAGCATTGTTAACTTTTATGTAAAATAAATCATTGTGAGGGCTAATACACACTTTATTATTGGTTGTTGCGTTATTTTAAAGATCTGGTCAAGGTCTGTTCTGTAGGTGCCTATCGAATGACCTGATTTCTTGGGTCACCATATTTAAGAGCAATCAAATCGTATCTCGAGGAGCGATCAATTTGCAATCAATCAACATTTACAGAATCAAACCGCACAAATGTCAATAGCTCAGGGCTTGCACTCTTAAAATCGACATTCGATATATTGTGGACTGTTTAGTTGTATGTCTCGCTCTCATTTACATACATATTTTTTCATATAACAAAATGGGAAGCTCGGTGAAGTTTGCGATACTTACATCATAAATTATTTTAAGAATAGGAACCCTAATATCATCGTTTATGAAAATAAACAAACATATATGTGTTATTTTAATTTAAAATAATAAAGTAAGTATGAAACTTACTTTTTATGTTTTTATTAAAAGATTCAATTTTCTTTAGATCTCTTTGCCGCTGGAGAAACGCCGTAATGCTACTAGTCTTTACAATCCTATGACAATTGCTGAATTGCAACAGAAATTCCCAAAGTGAGTAGCAAATTATTTTTTATTTTTAGAAAAGTAACATGTGCTTTTATTTGTATATCGTATCTAATATTATTTTTTATGGTATGTTATTTTAATGTATTTAATCAAATCTCATTAGCAATCCCATTCATTTGATACCCAAGTTATGAGAGAGGTTTATTTAAACGTACTTACGGTCAGTTGCACAAACGTCCATTAGGGTTTAATGACATCTTTAAGCTCTAATGAATGTCAAATTTGTATGGGTAATGTCGCTTTAAACTAATGTCAATTTTAATGGACGTTTGTGCAACTGGCCGATCTTGGGCGTAAATTATATGTTAGGGCAGGCACAATTTTTAACTTCATCCCACATAGAAACCATCAACATCAGTTTATCAAATGTCAAGTTTTGAATTTAACTACTAGCAAAATAAGGCTTAAAACAAAATAAAATACGATTCGGGATAATAAACGTGACGTTGACTATTTTTCTCTCCATCTGTTATAATAACATGTTTTCACTATAAACTTTTTGTCTAGGATCCCATGGCTTGAATACATCAATAATCTCCTGGCTCCGCACGTGAGAGTGGGTGTAGATGAAGTCACCATAGTCAGCGTACCCAAATACATCAGCGATCTGGAGGTAAAATTGTTTCCAATATTTCATTCTTTGCCCTGATAGAAGATTTATTATTTCTATATATATTATTATTGCTGGATATAATAGTATGGCTGGATGAATACAGCGGGACATGGAGTTTTGTGGCGCACTATGGGCGAAACCTACATCCAGCAGTCGACTGCAACAGGCTGATGATATATATAATAATATTAATTTAAATATATATTTTTATCTTATTACTTTTTTATTTTATTTTTATATTGCAGCAAAATGATTGACGACCCTACGATGGACAAACACAAATTGATATTACGAATTATAATACTATACTAAGAATACAATTAAACTACAACTATCGTAAACAGATCCTGCTTGAAAATACACCGCGTCGTGTTCAAGCTAACTACGTGATGTGGCGGGTCGCGGGCGCATCGGTTTCTTACCTCACTGAAGAATTGCGCAGGAGACAGTTGGCGTATGTCACAGCTCTATCCGGGAAGACGGAGCGAGAGAGCAGATGGAAGGAGTGTGCTGACACCACCAGCGTCAGGTAATCAATAATCAGTACAGAAAGATACAAATGATGTGGCTCACAGATGTACCTGCGCAGAATTATTTAAAGCACGCAAATATTGGCTAATCAAAGTAGCTCGCTATTGACCGATCTACCAATATGTACGCGCCTAATCAGACTGATTGTGAGTGACGCCTAATGCACTGTTTATTACACTCCAAAAACATTACTAAAAGGCTCACAAAAAAATTAAATCGTGCGTTCAGTCACCTTTAGAATAGTTGGGTCTCCTCTGTGCAAACAAAGATTCACCATGCGCTTTTCTTTTAATTCATTTTCTAGCCGTCCATTTCAAGTTGGTACTGACGACAGAGAAGTAATATTTATAATAATTTTACTCGTCCTAATTATCCATTACTTAAACGAGTTTGTAATTGGTGTTATTTACATAATGATTATCAAAATTAACAACTATAGTCATATAACAAAGCAAATAAAAGTACAGTAAATCCGTGATTCGCTCGACTTGTTTATAAAATTACTATGAAAACCTACTCTATGAAATAATTTCAGTATTCCATATTAGGGATACTATTAAATATTTGGCTACTTTCCTCTATTATTTATTAAATTAACACGCATTCTTTAATTCACTGTCAGTAATACAATAGGTATATTTAAATGAGCATGAGGCACCAGAGGCATTTACTTACCTACCTGGTATAAGTGCAAAAAAACTGGTCTTCTGTAGGAGATTAGATTGATTAATAGTAAACTCTTTTCTTGTAATCTAACTTCCAAATAACTTGCGTGGCTTACATCATGCCTTCGCTGAATAATAGACCAAACATTTATCATCGTTTTAATTTCAGTATGTCAATCGCCGTTGGAGCTTTATACATCAGGAAATACTTCAACGAGAAGTCTAAAGCTAACGCTTTGGAGATGGTGAACGACATCAGGTATAAATATGACAACTTTAATGTTTATTGAAGCTATTTTACATACCACATACATAACTCATATCCCAATCCAGCAGAAGCTACAGCCGTTGGCTTATAGAAATCTAAACCAAAAAAAAATGTCACGGTAAAATCACCTTTTGGTTTAGATTCCAGATCCAAAACAGAATATAATAAGTAGTTAATTTTTAATATTTATCCTGCGTTTGTCGAGATGGCGAACGAGCTTTTAATATATGATCGCGAGATTATTACAAGTCTGATTAAAATTTGAACATCAACAGGCAACAATTCCGTAAGACCTTGACTGAGGTGGAATGGATGGACGAAAAGACACGACAAGCTGCTTTAGAAAAAGCTGATGCCATGGCATCGCACATCGCTTACCCGAGTGAAATGCTGGACAATAACAAGCTGACTGAATTCTACACTGGGGTAAGATCATGGTTGAAGACAAGCAGATATTTTTCTTAATGACTTTTTTAAATTTGCCTATTCTTTTATTATATATACTTAGTCCATATACCATAGTCTCGAAAATAGTTGTAATCTCTTTTGAAATAGAATATATCGATAGAAAATCCAAAAATATCAAAGCATAATCGTTATTAACAAACATCTAATTTATCTGTTTTACCACTTCGCAGCTAGAGATGTCATCAGACAAACTGATGGAGTCTGTGCTGAATCTAACATTATTCGGTACCGAATACTTGTTCGGAAAACTTCGTGAACCGGTCAACAAAACAGACTGGGTAACCCACGGTCGTCCTGCCATCGTCAACGCTTTCTATTCTTCCATTGAGAATAGCATCCGTAAGTCATATATCCGAATAAATATATTAGACCAGATTTTCCCCTTTCCAATCAATAGAAATGAAATAGAAATAGGTATCAAGTGGAAAACCAACTCTTATGGAATGAATGAAAGGGATTAATACCTACCAGAAAGAAAATACTAGAGGAAAATGTAATGGAACTGGAAATAATGAATTAGATAATAATAATGATCAACCACTATGAGGAAACTACAAAGGAAACTAAAAACCAATAAATTCTTTTCCAGAATTCCCTGCTGGCATTCTTCAAGGAGCATTCTTTTCTGCTAAGAGACCAGCTTACATGAATTATGGTGCTATAGGCTTTGTCATTGGACACGAAATCACTCATGGTTTTGATGATCAGGTAAAATAGCCACTATTATATGTACCATTAGGTAACCACAGGACCAAAGAATTTAACACAATACATATATTTATATTCGAGACATACTTTTACAAATCAGCGAAAAGTTTTGGTATACTTATATGTAAAAGACAACATTATAACAATACCTACCTTTTTATAGGGTCGGCAATTCGACAAAAATGGCAATCTCGTCGATTGGTGGCAAGAGATGACAAAACACAAATATTTGGATAAAGCAAAGTGTATTATTGATCAGTACTCCAACTACACCGTAAAGGAAGTTGGCATGAAGGTAGGTATTAAAAAATGTAAACTACAACTGGCAGTTTCTTCATTATCATATTTTTGAAACTACTAAATTTAATGTTATTTTTAGCTGAATGGAGTAAATACTCAAGGAGAAAATATTGCCGACAATGGCGGCATCAAGGAAGCTTACTACGCATATCAAGCTTGGACCCAACGTCACGGCGAGGAAACTCGTCTGCCAGGCTTAGAAAAATATACTCCTAAACAGGTAATATGAAAAAAAAAAAATTGAAAATGTATTGTTATGAATACATAGTTAAATCTAGGTTACAACCGGATAAAAGGAAAAATAATATAGCAAAACATGTAATGCCTATTAGTAATATAATACAATTATGCATCAATAAAAATGATTCTATCACCGCACAGACCAATGACAAACGCTAACCAAATTACTCAATTTAAAAGTTAATCAGTTTTTAGTATAGAGAAGACATGCTTGAGGTCAGGTGACTGACGAAACTGTTTATACAATTGACTATTATTTACAGCTGTTCTGGTTAAGCGCTGCGAACACCTGGTGTGCAGTGTACCGAAATGAAGCCATCAAACTACGTATTACGACAGGGTTCCACGCACCTGGCCGGTTCCGCGTCATCGGGCCTATGTCTAACATGGAGGAATTCGCCGCTGACTTCCAATGTCCTCTCGGTTCACCGATGAACCCAACTAACAAATGCAAAGTTTGGTAGTTCAACTAATAAGATCTGCCAGTAACTATTGATTTCATCAGACTCGTCCTAACATGTTAGGCGTAAAGGCCACCTACATACCAAAAGCATGTCGAAAACAGTGTGGATTATATGCACCTATTACTATAATCCCATTCTGGTGATGACATGCTCTTGGATTGCTGAAGCCTCAAATTACATGAATTTTGTGGTAAAGATTAAATACGATCTAAATCTATTAATGGTATAATTGTAAACTAATATATAATAGGACTCGTGTACAAATTACCAAAATGAGTCCACAAAATTCTTGCCTGTTAAATCGCCCAATGTGCAAAATTTTTCCATCTGCAGACTATATAAAAAACGAAGCACTTACAAACATGTACTGATTCGACTATGCTGTTAAGAATCTTTGCACAAAGATATGTACTGTTTTAAGCATTAGTTTCATTTAAAATTGGGTACTAAAACTGCCAGCAAATTTATTATATTTATACTCCAAATGTCTATACTAAAAAAAATTGTACGCATATTGATACTGTTAGGAGAACATTAAAACTTATCAAGAAAATGCCAATTAAAATAATAAATTATAATAACGTCATAGTTACTGATAACATAATGTTCGCATTCTTGATCACGTACCTGTTTTATAAAAGAGAAATTGTGCAGATTCTTTAAATCTGAGAATATTTTGGCTTTCGATGAAGAGGTTCGACTCTTCTAAACCAACATTAGTATAATTATTGGCTCGTAATATTGTACGACAAGTATTAATCGTTTAATAAAGTTAGAAAAGATCTGTGAATGTTGGATGTATAGGTGTACCAGGTATCTCGATGTTAACTCGTAGATAGAATTAGATGAATTGTGTTATTTTAGATAGTTTTATACGGAACAATTATATGCCACAACAATAAATCACAATTATTTACTTGTTTATTTGACGATTTGTTTGATTGATCACGTTACATAGTTAAACGAGAGCGGATATATATAGATTCAATGGATATTCGCGAAAGCACTAGCGAAATCATGCGTTTTATTTTCTGTTATTTCTTACATATATTTATACACATTGTTCTATACTGACATGTTGTTTATACGAACGGGAACAAATTGTAATAAATATTTAAAATATGCCCTTTTCTATCGGATTTTATAGTAAGAGATAAATCACAAATTTACTCCTTTAATGGTAAACTTTCATTAGAATGTTTAATTACGAACCAATACAACTAAATCTTTGAATATTATTCTGTGGTAGTTCTGAAGCATTCTAGTGAATCATGACCATGAAGGATTTGACGTAGGATGTGTAGTAAGAAAGATTTATAGTAAATTAAATTATGTATCTAGTATAAGCATATTTAGTTATATATGAGCCGTCACAAGATATTTCAGTCTGTTTTATATCCTAATACAATCGTCAAAAGTACAATTCCTTCGACGCCATTCCTGCTAAAAGACTCATTATCCAACAAGATTCAACACCCCAGAAAACCGTTTTACAAATAGTAATTCTTCATATGACATATTTATTTTGGGTTACAATAACAGTATGGCAACGGACAGCTGACGAATTTATTTGATTTGTTTGTATATACTGTTATTGTGCCCATTACATATTTATAATAATGCTGTGTCAAATAGCACTATACGTGACTATGAAAGATACAGTGATAATTTAATTTTAGTATAAGCATCTAGTTAAGTATAATACTTTTGGATACAATCATATTGTTGTAAATCATTGAAACACCAATATAAAAGCTTTTTATCAAAACGTTTTATTTTACTGAAAGTAACGCCACCACCCCAAAATTACTTCGTTTCAACGTAGCAAAAAAAGAAAAACAACACCTTTAGAACATCTTCATTTATTTGTTCCAATAATAAACACGATATTGAAATCTCTGTTTTACCATAGTCCCAAAATTTTGTCCCATTTATTGGACCACGAGGGAGAAAAGTGTTTCTTGTGGTCCATTCACAATTTATTCAAGTTTTCTATATAAACTATAAGATACAAGATTTCTGTATCTTTAATATTAACGAGTAAATCAACTTTATTCGACCAGAAAAAAATAAATAAATTGAATAAAGCTCGTGCAATATGCGATGATCTTTATTACTAACGCGGTTTTATTTCAAGCACAACATATTTTTAGTGATAAAAAATATATACAAGAGGAAACAGACAACCACAGAGAGTGATGGAACTACGACAAACGGTTCTCAGTCGTTGTCCCATTGATGAAACAAAATTTGGGATCACGAGAAAACAGGGATAGGAAACATGATAATCATCAACGTTCACTAGACCGCCTTTTCAATGGATCAACAGTACAGCAGCACTTAATACCAGAATAAAGCCACGGATAAAAATCGTTTTCTCCAAAAAAAAACAAAACCTATATTTTATACTTATTTATACTCCAAACAAAGATATCTGTACCTAATTTGTTAGCACTCAACAAATATATTTGAACGGTAATAAATCAGTGTACCTGCTGTTTAGTATATGGAAATGTTATTGTATGTAGACGGTATAATGGACGATGACCATTATGGTAAACAGTTACTGTATACAGTAGCAAGTCGAAAATATTCAATTAATGCGTTTTTCTGAAAATCTATGCAGTTATACCATACAAGCGTAATCAAATTATATACGAGCATAAAACAATGATGGTAAATAGGAGTGCCACGATTTCATATCATATTCCATATCAGATCAGATTCAGCTTCGTGTAGTAAAATTTAGTATCGATACATGGAAAACTAAATAAACGAAAGTGAAGTAAATGATTTTCGTTTTACTTGTTCTCGTTTTCTTAAAATATATATTCACAAATTCATACAGAGCAAATGGATATAACTACTGTTGAGTATTTTAATGAAAATTTATCACTCACCACCTTAATTATGGATTGTGAACACCCGAAGTATATTTAAATGATTTCATCAATAAAAAAAATAGTTTTCGGAATATATAGCGAATTAATATAAAATATCTTTAGTGAAAATACAAACAGAAATATCAATGAGCGTAAGTGGTCTAAAACAAACTCAACTACAGAACATTATACGTAACTTGAATCTCACCTAAGGACGCAGGTTTATCAAACATTTTTTACTATGGACATGCTAAAAGGTTTGATTTGCTTTGCGAAAACTATAATCAAAAAAAATCAATATTAAAAATAGTTTCATTGGTCACCACCAGGGTTTGAATTTCGATTAATGTTTTACACACTTTTCTAAACTAGGTGTGCAACATAATCATTAGACCCAACTCAAAATTTTAACTTACACCATGAAATAAACTGAATTCTAATATACACATTTTTTTCCATTAATATAATTTGTCTAAATACTGATTAAAATACATTAAATGAACATAAGCGTTATAATAACTATTTCTTAGATGTATGCAAACTGGACCCAATATACATTATGTTGCTTTGACTTATATAGAAAATATAGAAACCTATTTTCTTAAAATTTGTTCGATCACATTGTATAATTTAAGATCGGAAATAATATAATACAATAATAATATATATATTTACGTACATAAATCCAAAAGATGTTTACCAAAAGTAGAGAGTATATGGTTGGATCTAGTTTGCACTTTCGTTAAAAAAACAAATTATACAAAAATACTGTGATTGCACTTTAATAAAATTGACATAATTTTATTAAACTCCAGAAAAATATAGAAAGACATCTCATATAGAGTTGACAAACAAAATTAACAACTTCAGCATTAAATTTGAGTATTAATAGTATAATGTAACTGTTTATATTTAATATTTTTCAATCAAAATAAAACATCATGTGTGGCCCTTGTCGAAAAGCAACGTGTTGGCTTTTTATGTAAAAAAAAAATTGCGCATTACGATTTTAGTATGCTTAATAATAATTTGAAGATCATAATTAGGTTTACTCAATAAAATGAATGAAGAAGTGAAAATGTATTTTTTTAAAACAATATTTTATTTGAGCGCACTTAAACGTAAATAAATAAATTCTAAACATTTAAAGCACTTATAATCAAAATTTTCTCTAACAGTTATTGACTTGAAAAGCTTGTAGTGCTACCGAAATCGGAGGCGAGGAATCGCACATATTTTAACGCAATAATAAAAAATTATATTAATAATATAAATACATTAAAATGCAAATTGAATATTGTTATATTGTTTTGAATATTGCATGGGAATTTTCTTGAACCTATTTAAATCTCTTTGTTAACAAATAACCCAATGTATATGTTTGTATAGTTTACACAATTGTCGTCTAAGCCGTGCCCACAATTTTATTTTGATCCAAAATACAATTATATACTTCCTTCCTTGTTCCATTCTACATTTTATGATACATTTTTCGTGCTATAATTAAATAGTATTCAATGAAACAGTTTCACTTTGTCGGCATATATGAAATAACGCAAAACCACCTGATACACACAAACAATAAAAATCGTCGATCTATTAAAATTGGATTTAGTAAAGAATGATGAAAATATTGTATACTTCCTTATTTCCTTTTTAAGATGAACACGCACAAATACATATGGAATAAGTGGAAACAGGTGAATGAAGGGAATTTAAAAATTCTTTGTTATAATACATAGGAACCTTCGCACAACAGTACCTACGCGCGGAATGGTAAGAATTCTAATATTAACTACCATTCATTTGCGAAGGATATGGGAATTTCGTTTCGTCTGCCTGCCGCCTGCCACGGCTCGAAAATCTGTTGTAGATATCCAGGGGGCCAATTCTACTAAATAAATTTTGTTTAAATCGAATCGAAAACGCATCGAAAACGGATCGAAACCGAACGAAACTACAGTTTTTAATGGTTTTTCTATTTTACTAATATAAGTGACATACGATACAATTCCAGCTAAAATAAAACTGGAATTGTATCGTATGTTACTTTTCGATCCGTTTTTGATTCGATTTAAACAAAATTTATTTAGTAGAATTGCCCCCTGGTAGGTATTTCAATGTCATTACGATTTACGAAACAATTTACGGAAAGATAAATTTGCCGTTTCAAAAAGTTCTCAATGCAATAAGTTTGTAGTCTCCAAAAAAGATTACAAAGGTTATTACAGGTTTTGCGTTGTATTTCATTAGCCCAGGATATAGTTTGGCAAAAAGTTTAATGATAATTTCACATGTTAAACTTTCATACTTTATGTGGACGCCTAAAGTAAATATTTCAGAACAAACTTTTTTTTAACAAAGTCCAGATTAACTATAGCTAAGAATTTTAAAACTAGATCATATAATATATCAGTAAAGATAATTGGCTAAAACATATTATATATTTCGGTATTACGTTTATTTGTAAAAATAAAAAAAGAAATACTAATCCATTTGGATAAAATTTTATTATTTCACCTTCAGAGTATATTTGGGGTATACTAGGCTTTAATCTGCTATCTATTAAAATACGTGATTTAACATAAAAAAAGCGTCGACTAGAAACTTTTTCTTTTTTATCGGTAATTATTGAAAAATAATATACTTAAGAAAAAAAACATTGAATGTACAAAATCACATTTTCTTTTTCTTTTTGGTTTAATTTCATAAAACGTTTAAATCATCTTTAATAGTAACTTAAATAAAAAGAAATATTGATACTATATGCGCCCTTTTAATTATACAGGCACACTCTAAGCAGCTTCTCAAATGACAATAGTTGCGCGATATTTTATATGCTTGCAATATTTTATTGCTGTGAAATATTTACAATTCCTACATAATACTGTTCAAATACTCATCATTTACATTCGAAAATTTATATTTAAACATATACATATATATATATATATATATATATATACATATATACTCCTTTATACATATATATATATATATATATATATTATCTCTAAAGGAGTAAAGCACAAAGTTATAAATAAAATATCTTAATTATTCAACTAATTGCCAAACTATATTTTTTACGTATTATGATATAAATAATGCGTTATTAAATAATTTAAAGTAAAATACAAATCTTACCCGATGTACAATATTCGAGATCATAAAAGTAACGTGTTGATATTTTTTATTTAAAGCTACTAAAGCATGTGGGGAGAATAATACGCGTGGAGAAGTTATATAAATATCAAGTTACATAAATATATGTTGCTTTCTATACTTATTAAGACAACCTTACTGTGCCCCTTACATTAAGTTAAATAATATCTATTACCGAGAACAGATACGAACTGTGAATCTTATTTAATTGTATCTATTGAGTCTGAGTTGATTAAATGTCTTATGGCGACTTTTCTTATTGAAGACTTCAAAATCCAATAAAAAAGGATTTATAATTAGAATATATTTCCTATAATTCGGTCATATTGTAACAAAGGAACGTTATTACTGCAATACAATAAGATAAGCATATTATTTTCCTAATTGTATTATAAAGAGAATTTAAAGATTAAGATTTCACAATTCAGTTTCTGTCCAAAAATTACTTCAATGTAAGGACAAAATTGCTGATTCACTTATAATACATAAAAAATGTTACATGAAAAATCTGCGTAATAATAATACAATGTAAAGAGTATTCAGTAAAATAAATTAGATACACGTGCAATGCTATTTTCTTTTGATGAATGGACAATTAAATGTAGATATATTAAATTTTCAAATTTAACAATAAAAAGTTTCATTTCGAATAATTTAATAAAATTTCACAGTATTACATACTAGGACTTATTTACGCACAATGTATTATATCGACTAGTTATCGATATGAAATTCCGAAGTCATTCTTTATACACGAAAAGAAATGGAACCCCATAATAAGTCGCCAACGATAACTAGTTGCCAGCGCATGTTTGGTTACTACCTGTATATAACAATGAATGTAAAGCTCAATTTCCGTATCAACACACACATATTACACGTGGATCAAAATTATGCAGATTCTTAATATCACAAGTGATTTCTTTTTATCATCATGCATACAATTTTATGGAACAAATGATTTTTATTTCTTAAATATACGTGTATGTGGGGGTAGCCTATTCTTCTAAACTTGGCGGGTTGTCGTCTATGAACACCACATGGGATTTGAGGTAAATTAAAAACGCTAACAACCTGTCATTCTCTGCATCCGAACCCCTGTGTAAAAAATATAGAAATGAGATTACAATAACGATTTTCGAAAACCTTACATGGACAGAAAGAAAGTTACAGTAAAGTTTGGGGTCGTCAAAAACATTAATTTAAGATAGTTTTAGGGTCGATGAAAACTGGAAGGATGATGCGTCGGGTAAACGCATATTTCAATGATAGGATTGATAGATTTTGTCATATTTGCACCGACTGATCCTAGTTGGATGATAAAGTGCTAAACAAAATAAGTAGAATTAAGAATGTATCGGATCGAATTACGAACACTCGACTTGGGTTTTCATAAACTGTGATCATTATATCCATATATGATTGATTACTGACAGAGATTTTTAGTTAGATATAATTGTATGTTATCTAGGCTGCTAGCTATTTTTCCGCGTTTTCGCACTCCTTAATTATAGCCCGCGTATTGATATAGCTTCCCGTACGCAAAAGTATTTCCGGAGATTACCCCTTACAAAGAAAAAAACTAAGGAAGTTTATTTCTGTTTAATATTAATAGATATGCCAAAAAATTTGTTTTACTTCCCCTTAATTTAGCCAGTACTGCAATTATTACTTGATAATTGCTAGCTGACAAACCTAACCTCCACAACCTCCGATATATGCTGCTTAAATGACAGCAAGCTCTAGCTAAGCATCTATGATTTTGCATAGATCGTTTTATCAAAAGTAGTAATACACGTATGCGAATCCTCACTGTTCGATCTGTGAATATAGGCTTTGACGAGAAGACTTTTCTTTACAATGAAGTAGTTATTGTTAACCATGGCAAGTTGTAGTGTAAAATGGTGGATCAAATTCCATAAAATCAATTGTAAGAAAGATGGTATAACTTTCACCAGTAAGATAAATTTTATTTGTATAACAATTTTAGTTACTATAAATAATACAGCACACATTGATGTCTTCTTGACCCATCCCTTTCTCTCAATACTAAATCAGTATATTAATTTCATTCTGACAAAGACATGTAACATTAATATCGCTTCTGCATGTTTTCTAGGTATGATCGATATTGATATTTCCATACGTAAACATTATCTGGCATTGTTACTATTACACGAAAAAATTGTACTCAGTGTACAAATATCTAATATCTAAGTACCTATGTTAACTACTTTAAGATATTTCAGAACATATGCATTTCAAGTTTTCATTATTATTTTTAACGAACAATATTTATAACTCCAAAGTTTGCAGCTTTTGCATAATTCGCCAAAATTTGAAAATATTACTTAATATTTTTATATAAGCGCAGTGCATGCACACTTTTATTGTTATGTATGTATTGTATCTCAGTGCATTTTATCAAGTTTCAAATTAGAAAGTGTAGCAAGTAATCCGATGCTATATGAAATACAAGAATTTAAATGTATTTTTGTACAAAATCGTTTTTTGAAAGTTAAAAGCGATTATAAGCGTACGCGCCTACTGAAGCTCTGCCTTTTGTCCATAAATTAATTTACAGTGTTATAAATTGTGTATAAAAAATATTAATATCGATCAACTATCAACTGGTATGTTAGTATGTGGAATGTAACATACTTAATGTAAAATAAACACATTTTTTGCCTCCCTTATTATAATACAAATAAATCCAAAATGACATTGTTCTTTATTACAATACTTACTCTACGTCAATTTCTATAGCCAGCACTGTGTGATGCGGTTTCCCTTCCTCATCAAACCAGCTGCAATAAATTTAAATGATCAGTATGTAACTGTATGAATTTATTGTTATAAACAAAAAAAGAACTTGAAAATAATTTGGAAACGGACTCTGCTTAGTTAAAGCTTTGCTTTGAAGGTTTAGATTTAATTTTCTTAACTCAACCGGTACAATTTACAAAGCTTAACCAAATAAGGTTGCTCTCATTAAATATATAAGCGTGTCAAGTTAGGATTACCGGGGAACACGGAATAGCGTGATAACGGCACTCTGTGATGTGCTACAGCTATGATGACTCTTCGTGGTGTTTATTACAAATGTTTATTTAATTTTAAATTTGAAATTGCTAATAATAATTAGGCACATGAGAAATGTAAACGAAAATAGGTAATGAGGCTACTAAATACATAACAAATCAAGGCAATTCGATTATATCAGCCTCGTTATTAATGAGCATATTTTGCAAGACCAAAAAAAAAATATTATCTCGAGCTACTCCGCGCTTCGAAAGGCACGTTAAGCCGCATTGAGCCAGCGTGGAGGATCATGACTCATCCTCCTTGTAACGGTGCGTCGTACAACCATTCATTTCGTCCTAGGTATCCGCATGCATACTTTTTGTCATTGAACTTCAACATAATTTATTTTTATTATTCACCTTTCGTAATTTGAAATTCTTAAATTTAGTGAATACGGGCATAATAGCCATACTTACATGTCAGCAATAGGCGGCGAAGAACACGGCGTAAGCACTAGTGCGCGCGGACGACGCACTAAGCTGGAGTCGGCGTCGTTCAACGCTTGCGCCGCACTGAGCGTTGACCTAACTACGTGCCAGAAGGCACGTTGCGCGGCGCCTACACCGTCTATACGCTCAATGCGCACCCAGCCTAAGAAAATAGTTTTTAACTGATCATTATATTTGACCAATTTTTCATTCACAATGTTATAATGGAAAATATTCTTAGGCAATCCGTATTTTCATCAATGTTCAGGCACCTGCCTGGGGCAAATGGATTTTTTAAACATATTTCATTAAGAATGTTTTAACTGATTTTAAAAAGAAAGTTATACTATTAAAGATATCTCCAGAAATAGTGCAACGATGATGTTATGTTATTTGAAAGCAATGATGTTTGAATCAATAGCTTTCATTTCTACACTAATAAGAAAGCTGATAAGTTTGTTTGTTTGATTGAACTCTATTATCTCAGGAACTACTTGATAGAATTAATTTTTTTAATTTTTTTTAGTTTTGAATAGTACATATATCGAGGAAGGCTATATGTTACATATCATTACGCTATGACTTATAGGAGGGTAACAGCAATAAAAATAGTTGCAAAAACGAAAGAAATATTTTACATTTAAAAACATTTCTTGCGTGCACTGCGTAAACGTCAAAATTCACAAAAATCATGTATTACGAAATTGGTCGTCTTATATCTTATCCCGAAAAAAACCCATAAACGGATAAAAATTGGAGTGGAAGTTCTTATAGGGCACTTAATCATTATTAATAAATAATAATAAAATAACGTCATATTGAGGAGGATTACATCTAAAATGTGAATTTAAAATGTTTTACCAATAGAATAAAATAAAAAGTTAGGACTGATAATCTGCTTTTGGCCATTTTAAGATTATAGCCGAGTTTTGGTAATTTTAAAAGCTACAAGGACGTGAACTTTGATATATCACAACTGTTAAGGGTATTAGTTTTGTTATAATCTAAAATGTTAAAACTGTTATAGCGTAATGTAATGTATTGTGGCTTAGACCAGGTTATTTCTTTCTATTTTTTTTGTAATAATATCCTTTTATAGGGGATATTGATAAATACGTTAGTCACAATGTAGTCGATTAAAAACAATCGTAATATGTAGTTTGCGAGTATATAATTAAGTAAATTGGTTTTGATACGCAATTGAAATGATGAATGACTATGAGTATCATTTGATATTTGTGATTTTTATATTTTGATTAATTTTGCATTCACAATGCCATACTAAAAATTATTCTTAATACAAAATGCTTAAATATCTACTTGGTCCCTGGCACCCTGAGATGGGAATCGAACCCACGATCTTTCGCAATCCGAGTAATTGCTCTAACCACTTTTAAAGCTCTTAAAGCTAGTAAAATATAACAGTAAAGTTAAAACATTTTTTATACTGTAATTATATAACAATATAACATTGTTAATTTGATTTTACAGGTCTTTATTTGAATGTTGGAAAAAACTCCAGATTTTAAAAATCAGATTACAGGCAGGAATCAAATTCTTTGCTCTTTTACTAGGACAAACGTGTCAACTAGTACAGTTGTAACGCAGACTCATAAAATCCGCTGCGAAGACCCAACTTTATTTTTTGTTATTTATATTAATTTTGTAATAAGTTATAATAAGTTGAGAGTCAAAGTTGTCATCAATATGTAATGATGGATGATTAAAATGTACTTTTATGAAGAATGTTATAGATTCATTTATTCAAAAAGTACATTATATTGTAACGGTGTGCCGTACCACCGTTTATCTTCCTAGGTTTCAACATGCAAACTTTACGTCTTCGAAATTCAACATCATTTCTATTTATTATTCACCTTTCGTAATTTGAAATTTTGATTAATCAAATATACTCTTTATTGATGTCAGTTCGTAAAATAATAATCTGTGATAAACATGTAAATTAACATATTATAGTGTTAAATCGTATAAATTTTAATATACAATTTTAAAATAATTGTCAATAATGATTAATGAGAAATTCATATAGAAATGATATAACATAGTGAAGTGTAATCTGTAAGTTGGATGATCCAAGTTTTCATCAAGAAAACCAAAAAGGGTTTTTTTCCTTTATCCTTTATACAATAAATAAATGCATTCTCAAGCTAGTCAGCCTTTTATTAACTGGTCCGAACCCGTCACAATAGTCAATTGTCCTGCTCAAATATAAAATTTCTGAACGTATAAGCTATAAGACAAATAACATACCTGCTAAGGGAGGTTGTGCATCTGGCTGACAGCTACTGCAATAGCACCTTACTTGGCCCCACGAAACTGCTTGGCGCAACTCTGGATATGGAAGCACGAGGAAATTCCAATATTTCAAAACTAAGTGCAAATGCTCACAGCCTTCCCCTGAAGCCTCCCATTCCGACTCCAAGCTCTGCCCCTCCGTACCATCCTGGTCGAAACACAATATCCTATTGAGATAATTCAAATTCTCTACGGATAACGGCTCTGACCAAATATCATCCCGTCTGGTAGACTCGTCTATCGACGACGACTGCTCCTCAGTCAAGTCAGGCAAATTGCCAGTTTCAAGCGTCAACGCATCCATGATTTCGTTATCCAAATTATCCACGTCATTCGCTTCAGGATATCTGTCATTATGACGAATGTTGGTGTCACATAATATATTCTCGTGGACGACATCATCAGAATCATCGACATGTGAACCGTCGCTGTACGTATGACGTATGATCGGTGTTTTCATGTCGTATTCTAAATTGTTATCCTCCACTTGACAAAAGTTGTGAGTCGAATGACTTTTCTGTATGCAACGATTGACAGCCTCGTTGTTGTCGATGGGAAATGAACTGTTCTCCGGCAGGATTAAACTATGATGGAGTGACACACGGTTCTGGCACACTTTTCTGCATATATCTAATTTATTTATTTCTGCATTAGGAAGACTAAACGATGGCAGTGGATCGGGATGAGAACTCGGACCAGGTTGCACAATGGGATCTAGATGATCTTCGACTAGGTTATCTTGACTATAAGATTTAGGTTTACGCTTGCATCGGATTTCGGGAAAATAAGCGGTGTTGATAGCGTCATGCGCGTTTTCAGTATCGTCGGATTCTAACTCTGCGAGAGATTCTTCTCGGAGATTTTCCGCTATAATTGGTAAATCGAGAGAAGTACCACTCACAACAACGAACGGGTGAAGTAATACTGATACCTGCAACAAATAACCCGTAACAGTAAATCAATATTAAAAATATATTCTCTATTCATGGTGATTAAGTTTTACATATGACTCGAAGACTTACTTGTTGAACTCTCCCATAGAGATCTATCAATGGGAAGACGTGACTAAATGGCCTGGGAATAGTACCTATGGTGCCGATAACTTTCCCATCTATATCTATGACTAGCTCGCTGTTAAATCTAAAATGTATCGTCAACACAGACTGTTCTTGCAGATCATCCAATGCAGACGCCAAGTGTGTCTTTTTCTGAAAAATTAAGAATCTTTGCATTAGGTTTTCTCATCTTTCTATAAATTATTTTGTCAAAAATATAGTACTTTGATCAAAAGGTAGAATAGTGATGACGACAAATTTTTGTTTGTTTGTCCATCAGGTAGATTGTTGAAAAAATATTAAACACGTATTTTCTTTTTTTTCATAATCATTAAATTACGTTATCATTCATAATCATTCAGTTAAAAATGATTATGAATGATAACGTAATTTAATTTTTCATATTATTTTTCATAATCATTCAGTTAAAAAATCACATAACGTTTTGATACGTTTCTACAAAAGGTAGCGAGCCCCCACTCATCAACTATAAGGACTGTTATCTCTGCTGTTTCTTGTTAAATTGATGTGAAAAAATACGCATCTATTATTTTTGTATTATCTGAATGACGGACTCAATAGAATTTCTTTTTTTTTATTTTTCTTTTTTTTCATCCCTTCATCCCTATTATTATTTTTGTTCTGGCGTCGGTAACGAAATGCGAAATACGGTTTACATTACTAATGATACGACTAAGAAGTAAAACATCACTATCAGATAAATGCTACCATAATTCTATGATATTTATTTTTATAAATATCTGGCACCGACCACAAAAAAAAAAAATTGATGTATCCACTTTCTGCGTTTCGATTTATTTAAGATAAAATTATGTGGTAATATTTTTAAAGGTGGTTTATTTCTTTTTTTAATTGTAATTTTATTTCTTTCTTTTTTTAATAATTGAAGTTGTCAGCGATCGTAAATACTTCTAACCTATAATAACCTTCATCTGTACTTTAACATACTTATATTTACTGGTTAAATCTTTTATGTTAGGGACAAAGTTTAACCGTAACGTAGCGTCGATGCGTTTTTATTGGTGTCGAAGTTCTAAACTGACCTACTATTCTGGTATCAATTCGTTGCTTAATGCATTTAGTAAGTTTTCTCTAACACTGGAAGCAGTATAAAAGAAAACTTAAACTAAAGGTCCACTTGATAAATAGTTGATCAAGCAAATAGAGAATAATTTCAATCCGATGTCCACTTTACGAGAAATACGTGGACAAATATATAAATACACATAAAATATACACCTACTAAAATGTAGCACACGTGTTTAGAAGCTCACTATAGACTAAAAATATACAAAAATTACAACATACAAGTCAAACTGTTAACTTTATATCTTTAAGGACGGTTAAAAACGTACGTCAAATTGATAACCTCTTTTAAGTCTGTAAAAATTTAATAGATTATCAGCCAGTTACACAAACGTGGTTTAATTTTTTCATTAGTTTAATGCGACTTTACCCATACAAATTTGACTCATTAAAGCTTAAAACGTTTTTATAACTTAATGGACGTTTGTGCAACTGACCGTATACCTTGCAATCTATTGAACCGCACGCACGTACGCACACACACACACACACACACATATACACACGCGCGCGCACACATACACACTCATTTATAAAAATATTGCAGAGTTGTTTAGATCAACATACATGAATAAATGATAAAAACATAAGTATTTTTACAGATTTATTATAGATATAAATTTGTAAAAATGGATGTAAAAAATACTCGATATTTTTGCTTGATACGTTCATATTCTGTTATGGTATATTAAAATATACTTAACATATAAATCTAGAATCAACTTACGAAAACGCCGTTATCGTGCAAGAGATCGCTGGAGATCACCCATATTGGTGGTTCGAGATGCATCGCGCACTGAGGCAGACTCTCAGAAGGCAAAGCGCCAACAGCTCCAATAGATACACTGCCCGACCATTCCCCTGCCACTTTGTCTACACGGAACTGTTGACAAGCAATGATTTCAACAATCTAGTAGAGCGGTTCTCATCTGGTTAGGCTGCGATCCAAAATTATACATTAAGATGGGAATATAAACTATATAGAAACTATAGACTCTATTACAACGCATACGGCACATGGTATAACCCATTTTACACATGGTACAACCCATTTTTGAGTCTCTTCCCGAAACAAAGATTAAGACCTAGTTTATAATAATCTACCTATATTTTTGTTGCTTCCATACAACAAACGTGATTTTTTTGCTCGTTTCCGGTACTAGTTTTAATACTGCAAATAGGAAAAAAGCACTGATTGACCACTGCTGCTTTTATACAAAAAAGATATTATTGTTTGTTTACATCGAATAGGCTCCGAAGTTATTGGGTTGATTTTTTAAATTATTTCACCTACGGGTAACTACATACTAGGGGGTTGACACAGGCTTATAATGTACGAGTGCCATTTCGCGGAAAAACAACTATTCTTTAATTATATTCTCTTGGAAAAATTATAAAATTACGCGATTAATAAATAATCGATCTTGTAACCCTAATTTTAGCGAGATTCAAGCCCTACATAATCGATTTGGATCAATATTTTTAAAATGAACCGACGTGGTTATTGTCTTTGCTGTCATTTTGCACGATGAGGTAATGATCCTTCTTGTGTCATTTACGGTTTTTAGAATATATAATCAGGATTTTAGAAATAAAATATAAAATTTATTTGGAATTCATAATTTTTAGATTCTATATCAATAAATTTTTAATACACACACCACATTAATTATTTTTTTCGTTACATTTTATTACATTCAATTCGTGAATGTGTAAATTAGGAAGTAAAATAGGGATTAAAAGTTACTTATGGACGAAAAAATGTATTCTACGCAGCCAAACCTAACAAGTGGACAGATCAACCAGTTTGGCCGGACATTTGGGTCAAAAGGCCGGACACTAAATGATTGAGTAAAAATTGTAAGTAAAATTCTAATGAAATAATAAATAAAATCGAGTGCCGAATCAGTTTTAAATAGGTACTTTATTATTATTTATTTTAGCTGGACACGTACATAATCATAAAGCCTACCTATGTCCGGTTTTATCCGGACGCCTGTAAACGCTATACGCAAGCGCAGTCGCAGGCAGAAAATTAATAGAATATAACATATTCGCAAAATCGCGTTGGTTACTCTTTTTATTACTCGAATAAGAACCATTTGACCTATTTTTATTTAGTCAGATTAGTACAAATTTGACGTCTTCCGGCTGATGATGATGATGATGATGATGAGAAGACCTGTTGTATTTCTTTAAAAACGAGATATCATCTATTTTCGAAAAGCTAATACAACTCCGAAGAAATGCATTTTCAATAATTTATGATGCAACAGGGGTAGGACCTGTCATTTGCATCTAATGCAAAAATAATCTTCACGGTTTCATATCCGAAAATTAACTATAAAATATAATAGGTCACATGTATACTATTAGACAAGCCGCACAGTATTAAAATATTGATCTCTAGTCTAATAACAATTTGTACAACCATTATTTTGACTGTCACCAGAAATATTGCAGACCTAACTGATTTTCATGTTATATAAATTAAATATATCGAAATCTATAGTTCGGATAAAAGAAAAACGTACTTATACTGGTACACAAATTAAAGTACACAAAACTAAAACTTAGCGCTTGTGACGTAACATCGCAGGAATGCGCTGTGCGAATCGAGAATAATAATAAAGTATAGTTTTTATAAGCAAATCTAGAACTGTGTTATAAAATTATTAATATATCGGTAGGTCATATAGAAAATCAAGTAGGTGACATTAACTTCAATTTGGTTGACAATAGGTTCAATCAAAAACACTCAGTGTTAAATTCTATATTAAAGGCTGAATGCATTTAATTCAACCCACTGCAAACAAAATACCACACTGCATCTATTGTAAGATCGTCGAGTACATTTTGTTGAATCCAATGTCACGTAAGGCTCAAGATTGCAGATCAAATTCCGATAAGCATTACATATCATATAACATTACATATCTCTTTCACTCGCGGGCATACATATTGCTATTGCGCTTGAACAGACCCAATTTCGCCGTATCAAAGTGAACCATAAATATTTATGAACCTATCAGAGATACAAAGGTCAACGTATGAAATTCTCTCTGTTCGGCGACCGTACTATAATGGCTAATCATTTATGAGACGAATGTGAACATTAATGAAAAACATAAAATTATTTCGCTGAGAATCAGTTCTAACCTATTATAATTATTAATTTCTCGCTTACGTATCTTTGCATAATGCGGGGTATGTTAATACACACTTCAAGCGATAGCAAAGTACTTGCACACGTAAATAATAGCATGTATAATTATTTATAAAAACTAGAATTATTTTCTATAGTTAATAGAATTAAATTGATGGAGCAGTTGTAAGCGTATTCGGTCAAGATGAGATATTCGCAAGAGCTTTCGCAAGGGTCGGTTATAAGCTAGGTGACCAAAGTTTTATTATCTTTAGCTCCTCTGTACTTTGGGAAGCATGTTAAGTCGTTGGTCCCAACTTCATCTGCAGACGTTAACACACACCAATCCATTCAAGACCCGCGTGATGAGCATTAACACATTTTCCCTTTTTGATTCCATCTAAGGGGCATTGACGTTATTAGAGTGTTTATAATGATATAGCAAATAAACAAGATTGCTAAATAGACTTTATTTGAATATTTGAAAATACTTTCTTTTATTAAAAGTTGAATACGAGTGAAAACACTTATACTCTTTCAATCGCTAGGCAATAAATTTCGCATTTTAGTGTCAACGGTTACCAGTAAACTTATGAAATTTATTTATACAGTAAAGTTACATTATAAACAGTAAATGACATTATACATGGCACACTATTTATACAATCGCAAAGAAACTTACGCCAAGCTCATCGTCAATCAAGAGGGTTTATCGTATTTATGTTCGTGAGATGGATTTAGGGCCGGGTATATATTTTATTTTTTTTTGGGTTTTTATAGTTGAAATCTCGTCAGTGTTTTGTTTTATTTCCAACACAAGGGGGTTAACTATCTGCATTATTGCCATGAACAAGTTATTATGTCTCAATCGGTAGTCTTTGATTAATTATAAAAATTGTAAACAGCAATAAGTTTATATCCCATTTCATAGATACTCGTAGTTGAACTAAATAGTTTATCTACGAGTATCTATGTATGAGATATTATCTAAATAGATGAACATTATTTTTAGAACTCCTTCGAGTTAATTACAACTATTTTATATTTGATATTAATATACAAAAATGTTTTAATATTAAATTGCAATGACAGCAACGGCGATTGCGACTTCGCAAAGCTTGCAAATGACATTCAAGGAATAGTTGAAAAAAGTTAAGACTAAGCCAAATTAATATAGAATTGAATGCAAATAGTCTTTTTATCATACAAAGACGTACAGTGTACAAACGTTGACGATTTAGCTAGTAGTAATATAAGAAATAATGATGTTTTTCTATGAATAATCCTCTATGCTCGAGTGGTTAGCACGCCAGTTCCAAATCAATTCGCGATCAGATTTTCCAAATTAATACATTATATTGTTTCGAATCTGGGTGTTCTGTTACCGTCGTTATTTCAGGTTTTCGTAATACGAGCGCTTTTGCTACTTCATTTAGGATCCCAACAATGTATGTGACATTGTTGATATTTATTTATTATATGCTCCTATGTTCTGTATCCTGTATGTCGTGGCCATATATATAAACTTTCCTATTGAATAACTCTATATATTGACGAAACCGCATTAAAATTAGTTTGTTGTTTCAAAGATCTAAACGTACAGACAACGGGAAGAGACTTTGTTATATACTATATATAGATACAATTTGCACAACTAGCGTAAATTATAAGACATGTAAAGTTAAATACAAAAAATGTTTTATGCATCAGCAAACAAGATCTAGCTAAGCCATACACATATATAACATAATGCATCATCAAAACAGATTTCTATATCATAATGTACATTTCTGTATTTATTAAAATTACACGAGATATAACAGATATAATTATTATATAATTTTATTAAATTCATCTTTAATTCATTTTATATTTTCATCACTGTAAAATTAAAAACAATACACAATAGACATATTTGACTCGCTTTTTGTACTTTAAACATTTTATATAAAATTCGCATTTATATGGTACGGTCTAATGAAAGTGATAAATAGCATACAAAATTACCAAGATCACAAATATCGACAATCAATATTATGAAGGCTTAAACGAGAGAAAAACATCAACTTTGAATAAGCACAGATATAATCAGTGTTTTTACTTTATTCGTATTCTTATAAATAAATATTAAAAACAGAACGTTGCCGTTTCATATGTTATCATATGTTATCTAATAAAGAATAAATAGTAGGAGTGTTCTTATATCATGTGGATAGTTTTATGAAATCATCCACATTGATATGTTTTGCGCTTGCTTTAGACAGATTTAGATAATTGACATTAATGAGGTACCGAACTGTTAAATTCTATCTTCTTAGTTAGGATTTGAACGAAGCAATTTGTATTATAATAATATAGTATCAAATACTTCCACGTACCCTAAAATTGTGTCCTCTTCGCAATGGCTGACTAACAATCGCGACTGCATCTTTATACCCTGATGTGCGAACAGCGACTGTGTCTGTAATCATATTCAATACATATGTAAATTAATTGTAAGAACAAATTTACGTTTTTAATTTTTAATAATCATATATATGCATTTTCAATTATTTTCAAGACGAAATCGAAATAATGTTGAAAATTTTTACATAGATTTCATTCTTAAGAATGACTGTAATAAATAATATTTAACCTCTTATTTTTTAAATCAGCCGCATATTCCTTGTTTAGGTATAAGCAATGAATTTCCAAGTCTTACCTGAACTGCAAAGCCTGATATTCTTTCCGTGCACATAATGGAATGTATACGGCAACGGATGTCGTTTTCTCCTAGTCTCCGTAGTCACTAGAGCGGCGGTCGTAGTGGTCGGTTCATTGGTAACATCTATAGAAGCGGCCATTTCTTCGTTACAAACTGTCACTTGTTCAGTGGATGCCTCATTAAAGTGGCCATTAGTAACTTCAGCGTTCAATTGACCATAGTTAGGTTGAATTGCTCCAGTACTGTTGCAAACGCTATTAGCGTTGTTGGTTGCAGGTAGAATTGCCTTCGTACATTCATCGTTTGGTACTAGAAATTATATATGTAAATTTAAATTTATTAATCAAATCAGATATATATTTTTTCAATCATAATAAAAACACTCGCATTTCTCTGTTACGTATATTTATTGTATATTGTATTTTGTTTTGTATTCTCAAAGAAATAAAAATATATTTACTTGTTGATTGAGGGAACGCATTGCCCAGATTAGTTCTTGATACCGCTTGGATTTTAGTAACATGTCCATATATTTCCATGATTACATACACCTTCTGTAGAGAAATATATTATTGTAAAAGTTACTAATTTCTGTTCACAACTTGCCTTTGAGGAATATTATCATTAAGAGCCCTTTTAGTGCGATAACAGCAACCTTTGTATTATTTTAAGATAGAAGATCAATCTATATCAACCGAAACGCAGCGCAAAGTATTTTTCATTCCCAAAGCATCGTGGTCTTTGTAGACTTTGACACAGGAACGAAAATGAATGAACACATTTTAAACAGTTCAACGTTTTGGCTATTTAATTTATTCAACCATGAATAAGTTAACTAACCAAAAGATCAAAAAAGCCAAAATGATACTTTGAAGCCTATACATAAGACCCATAGATATATTTTTAAATTAAATAAAACTCACATCAGGCACATTTTCGAAGGCCATATCTACTAGCTCGGAGTTATAGTATATGAGCACACGGCTATCAATGGTCTTCTTGAGCCCGATCCTGTCTCCAGGCCTAAGCCACTCCAATGACGGCACGAAAGTATACATATTGTGCTCGCGAGTACCAGCTTTTGAATATTTTATGTACTTCCCTGCAATTCATATTTCTAATTTAATGCAGTTCTTATAAATCGTACGCATTAACATGATACTTGAGGGCCTATTCTATTTGTGCTCAAACGAATTGGGAAAATCTCTAATCGTTCTTATAATTTTGTTATAGTATGACCGTTTAAATGATTCTGATGATTCTGATGACGGCAGCTTTGAAAGTGAAGAATCAAGTTCCACTGATATTGATATGGACATAAGTGATTGATTTATAATTTTGATAATTCTTGTATTTAATAAATAGTACAAAAGTTTATTACTAAATATTTTATTTAGTTACCTACACAAGTTACATTTTCTTTCTTTTAAATGTTATGTAATCATCAATCGATTTTCAAATAAAAAAAATCACAATTTGTTCACCGTTATCCACTATGACGTCACATATCTTAGGATCTGTCTAGTGTGCATTTCGTCTCATGCGCGCGCGCCTGCTGCCCACCTCTCTCTCGGTCCCCTTTGTCGTCATACCCCGCGCCCCTGTACCGCGCGGGCGAGGACTCATTTAAACGGTCATACTATAACATCATTATCCGTGAAGATTATCTAGCCATCAAAGGCAGTTGTGTTGCATAATAATCTATCGAAATTTATTGAAAACGAGTGTTTTTGGAGTCGAATTAGTATTTTGAACGTTGGCAAATTCGTTTTCGGGGACATAAAATAGGCCTTCAGGTATAATGTTAATTCGTACGAAAAGTACTACTGATATCACTTTAAATAATATGGCATTGGGAATGCATAATTGATCAAATATAATAATTAAAAATACTGATGAGGCCGCAAAGTAAACTGATGCTAGATACTTTTGTGGTGGTTAGTTTTTTCTTAAAATGCGAACATATGAATTGCATAAACTTTTTATTTTATAAGCTGTACTCACATACTTTAAAATTGATTGAAATGTGAATTCAAGTGTTTTTTACATAAATTATTTATTTATTTAAAATTTAACACAATTATCCCATTTACTAGTAAAACTAATCCACACATTAGTTTTTTTCACCGGTCTTATATAGACGAAGGTGTCATTTTCCTTTTAGTTGCGTTTACTGCAATTTATATTTAAATCTTAACTATAAACCCAAGCAATTATTTGAAATTGGACTATTCATAGATCTATTCATAGTTCATATCATAGATAAGTAAATCTAACTTTCAATTAAACAAGTTGAAAATCTTACCGTCAATATAAGCCGTATAATGTGGCAAGTAAGATACAGAAGGTGGAAAACTCCGATTGACATGCGCGTTTAGTATGTTTATATCTGTCACTCCCATACGAAAACTGCCCGCGTATCCATACTTACACTGTGCTATTTTTATCTGTAATGTACGATAAATATCATTCAAATTATAACGCCGATAGTACCTAACGGTAGTTCATTAAATATTTTTAATTGTAATAAAATAATTATTAGTTATTTTATCATAAACAACAAGCACATTATTGCAAATGGTTAATTTTTCATTTACCTCGTGTGTTCATAAGTTTTGAGACGAAAAAAAGTTGCGTAATTTTTATAAAAATTAACTCATATTTCTAAAATTTTCAGCAACCATTAAATAGATAATAATCAACATTAAAATATATATTTTATTCAAAATGACCGCCCTTGTTTTTAATACAGGCCCTTAGACGATTTGGCCAGTCATCAAAGGCGGCACGAATCTTTTCTAGCGGGAACAAGGGTTCACTTCAGTGCTCTAATTCAGTCCATAAAGAATAATCCAGTTGGTAGAGGTCGGGGCTAGAGGAGGGCCACTCGTCCGTCGTGATGAAGGGCGGCAAGCTTGTGTGCTTTTCCCCTTATGGGATGGCGCCTTGTCTTACTGAAAAACCCAATCCTGATTGTGAAATATCAGACAGGGGTTGCACCACGGGCTCTTAAATGTCACTTTGATTATTCTTGACTTGACACCTTGTTGGCAGAAATAGATCGAAGTGACACCTTCATACGAAACTCCCCACCATAGCATCACACTAGCCGGATGAGGAGTGCATGAGACATTCCGTGTAGAAGCTGAGACATCCTTGCTACTTTTAGCGTACACTTTATTGTTTTGTCGGTTGAACTTTTCTTCGACAGTAAAAATTTTCTCGTCGGTGAAGAGTATCTTTCTGGCATCATGTCTCCTCAGTAGCAATGGACAACGATACGAAGACGATAAAAAGTGAAGTTTTCTAAGGCTATAGGCCTTTACTTTCAGATCTTATTTCAGTATTCTGTTCACTGAAACGCGCGAAATATAAGTCTGCAGAACGAGTTTCTTCTAAGTGCGACTTGGATTTCCGCGTAGTCGCTCTCGGATGATTATTAAGTTCGCAGGCGTCCTCACAGAGCGTGACGAACCACTCCTTTGACGATCATGCAGAAACTTATATTTTTGTAGTTACCGCTGTATTGTGTAATAGACGAAGTTACGGCTTACACGAGAACTTTTCAGCTCGCGGAAAATCTGCATCGGGTTTTTTTTGCACGTAATTGTTTCGTTCCCTCCATCACGTGAAAATATAAACAAATGAATTTGTGATACAAATAAACAGAAAGTTAACATTCCAAATTAAAAAAAAATAACAGCCAATAACATATTATTCTATTATTTTAGTAAAAAGTTTGTCTCAAAACTTATGAACACATTGATTTGATTTGATTGTTTGATTATTTGCATCGAATAGGCTCTGAAACTACTGGAAATGTTTTAGATATTATTTTCCTTACACGAGCTAGTATTATAATACACTTGTAACTAATATAGGAATGTTTTACCTCAAATACTTCCCCGACGGCGAGGTGTGCGGAACTAAATACTAATGCAGCCATAGGATCCGGTGTAAGTCGTCGTGCATATGAATAGTCGTGCATCAGACAGATGTTGTCACCACAATATTCAGAGAAGCTCCTGTAAAATAACCCACAGTACAGTAACATAACAAAGATTCGGTCTGGTCTTTATTTATTTGTTAAATGTTCTATATATTGATATTATCAATTTGTTACTGTTGGGAAAAGTATAGTATATTAAATCGCTATCAGATTTCTTTTTATCCAAGTGTTTTATTTTATATTAAAAAAAGGAAAATTATTATTTTATATTAAAGTAAAGAAAGAGTCTTGTAATCTACAGATTATAAATAGCAATTTAATTTTGCAAAATAAATATACTTACAAATTATTTTAAAGTTTACATATAAGTTGCCATTTCCAACATATTTCATAATTTATTGTTATATATAACTCTCAAATAGCTAATTGCTATAAAGATAATTAAGATTGTCTTTAAAACTATCTGTTTTGTGTCTTTTTTCTCACCAATGCAATAGCTCTTTTGGTCTAATTTAAAAAAAAATGTAACCTTTACGAGTAGAACAAATAAAAAGTTACAGAGTAAGAGGCAGACAATAGTATATGTTTTAGTATTACCAATAAGGAGGCGGCGGTGATGACAGGGCTCTGGAGTTACTTAGTAGAGAATTATCAGAGTTGGTGCAACCGTTATAATTGAAAGTTCGCTCTTCATTTTGAAGAATAGTTACCTGCAAGTAATAAATAACAATCATATAAAATATTACACGCTTTTTTTACTGTAACTATATCGTAATAAATGTGTAAAAATATCTAGTCACTTTAAAGACACAAACAGGGCTATTAATAAACTAGGCTAAACCTAAGTCAAAGTAAATTTACGCTAAAAATCGCAATTTTAGTATTAGTCCAAACCATATAAATAAGCAAACCTACTACCTTCTAGGAGTAAATATTAATCCCGTAGAACCTCTTACTATGTTAACGTTTGCTAAGTCTCTGTTTAATAGTCTCAGCGTAAAGTTACTCTTGTTTATTAGTAACACTGAAAAAGTTTTAAAAGAAAATAGTAAGCTTCTAAGGTGGCTGAACCATGGAAGGCCATGTTCCTCCAAAAGCCAACTATAATAAATCATGTTATTGTCATAAGATGACAAATTCCTTCCACTCACACTAAGCTCTATCAAACTTAAGGACACAGACGAAGCGGCAAGTCGCTTGTGACGCTAGTTTGATAGTGAGGTTCCTCGCTTTTTAGACTTCGGTCGTTGTCGCTAAAATTGTAATTCTTGCACACAAAAAAGCTATTATTTTAATGTAAATAACCAATATAAAAAGTAATAATATGACAAATAAAGTTATAAAAAAGATGATGTTTTTCAACTAGTGGTCAACAAGGGGTTTGTTTTGCCAATTCTCAGACAGAACACCCAAATTTGGAACTGGTGGTAGTTTACGGTAATCAGTAAATAAAAAAGAACAATTTTATAATTCTAATATTTTGTAACAACAATTTAATTATTACAAACGTTTCTACATAATAAAATTATAATATTGTGAATGTGCCCGATAATTGAAGGCTGCATTTAATTATTAAAAGATTACCAATATATCAGTCTATAGAATACAGAACCTGTAAATGATCCGAAAGGTCTGAAAATGTAATATTTTTTCAAAAATGCACTAGAACTACGTTTAAAAGTAGTTTTATTTAACATGAAAATATAAGTAACCTGTAGCAACGAATAAATATATAAATACGAAGATAGCATAACCTCCTTTTTAACTAACCTGCGTGCATTGCCCATACAGATCAACTACGGCGTGTATGTTTAGATGGGGCACGTACCATGCTTTGCCCATGTCCATTCCGTCTAAATAATAATGTAGACTACGATCAGCATGCCACATTAAACCTGTTAAAAAAGAAATATAACATTTTATTGTATAGAATAAAATCTACACTTTGATGTATTGTTTAGTTTGTAAAATCTGTGAAGATATCTGTTGTGTTGACAATAAAGTGTTATTATTATTATTTAAATATATTTATAATTTACTCTTCCCGACCCCTCGACGATTCGAGGGGGGGGAGGATTCCCCCCGGCAGAGGAGGCCAGACGGCCGGGGGTCAGGGCGACAAAGAGAGAAAACGGCGGACGATCCTTGCGTTATCGAGCAAGATCGCCCGCTGGAGCCTCGCAATCATTGGTCCGTCACGGAGTCCCAACCTCTTCAGATGGTCGTGAAGAGAAGTCGGGACTAGGCCATTCGTTGACACTACGACTGGGATGATCTCAGTGGATGACACTCGCCACATATCGGTAACCTCGTGCGCCAGGTTCAGATATTTAAGTTTTTTATCTGATTCGGCTTTCACGAGGTTTTCATCGAATGGGACGGTGACATCCACTAAGAACACCCGAGATTCCGCCCGGTCCATCAGTACGATATCAGGCTTGTTCGCAGGAACAGTCCTGTCCGTAATGACGGACCGGTCCCAGTATAATCGAGCGCGGTCATTTTCAAGAACTGGCTCCGGCACATACTTATAGTACGGCACCTTTTCGCCTATGAGGCCGTATTTGAAGGCTAGCTCGAGATGGAGTATTTTGGCTGCTTGGTCATGTCTGTGCAAATACTCGGTATTAGCCAGTACAGGACAACCGGAAGTAATATGCCTGAGTGACTCACCGGGCTGGTGACAGGCTCTACAAACATCCTCTGTCCCATCCTTCAGGATATACTTCCGGTAGTTTCGGGTCATAATGACCTGGTCCTGTATTGCACAGACAAAACCTTCGGTTTCCCCAAAGAGGTCCCCGAAGCGCAGCCAATGCACGGAGGTTCTCGGATCCACATGACGCTCGTGTAGCGCCTTGTAGAACCTACCGTGCAACTCCTTCTCCCTCCAAATGGCCTCTCGGTCAGTGGTGCTAAGTACTGCCGGTTCTCGCCATTGCTCGGTGGCCAAAGAGAGAGGGGTTAGTCCTACATCACATGCTTTGACATCTCTATGCAACTCACTGGATTCCGATTTCGCCAGGAAGTAGTTACGGAGACTGTGTATCTCGCGGTTGTGCAGGGTTTTCGCACTGAGCAGCCCACGACCGCCGCTCTTCCTCGGGATATACAGCCTCATCACTGACGATCTCGGGTGGTGCATCCTATGGAGTGTCAAAGTTGTGCGGACTTTCCGATCCAGGGCGTCCAATTCGGTCTGAGTCCATCTGAGTATGCCAAAGGTGTACATTAGGACTGGCATGACCCAACCGTTGATGGCCCTGACTTTGTTGACGCCTGATAGGTAGCTTTCAAGCACCTTAGTCAGGCGTCCCAAAAAGGCCTCCTTAACGGATTGTTTCACGTCCGCCATATGCACACCCAGATTCTGTGACATACCCAGATACCGGTATGTATCAGTTTCGGAGAGGGTACGGATGGTGGATCCATCCGGTAGGTCCACTTGGTTGGAATCACTTATCCGACCTCTATCCACATGGATAACCGCACACTTGTCCAGCCCAAACTCCATGCTGATGGAGCTACTGAAATCCTTTGTGATTTTCAGCAGCTCCGCCAGCCTCTGAGCATTTGGGGCAAGCAACTTGAGATCATCCATGTAGAAGAGGTGTGATATTTTGAACAATCCTCTCTTCAACTGAAAACCTGTCCCTGGTTTATCCAGCAAAGTGCTAAGCGGATTTAGGGACAGGCAAAACCAAAGTGGACTCAGACAATCGCCCTGGAATATACCCCTCTCAATCTTTATTCGGTCTTCCGCATCCGACAGCTGCACCCCGAACAGACTAAGCTGCGTACTCCACTGCCCCATACAGGTCTCGAGGAAGTTTCGAACTGTACAATCGATCTTGTACAGCTCGAGGACCCTCTTCAACCACGTATGGGGAACCGAGTCAAACGCTTTTTTGTAGTCTATCCAGGCTGCAGAGAAGTTGCGTCGGTTGCGTTTGACCTGTTGGGCCACGACCGCATCGATCAGGAGAAGCTCCTTTGAACCGCGGCTCCCGCCCCTGCATCCATTCTGAGTGTCCACCATGATATGATTGTGCTCAACGTGAGCATCAATTTTAGCCTTCAGAATGAATGTCAGTGCTTTGTAGGTGGTACACAAGCACGTTATGGGGCGGTATTGTGACGGATCCGCGGTATTGGTGGACTTTGGAGCTAGGTGAGTGACCCCAGTTGTTAAGAAGTTTGGGAGACATCGCTGTTCTAGGGCGTCTTGGAATTGGCGGGCCAGGAATGCGTGGCACGAGCGGAAACTCTTCAACCAGTAGTGGTGCAGTCCGTCAATCCCTGGAGTTTTCCAGTTCGGAGCTTTACGGACCGCAGCCAACACGTCATCCGACTCTATGGTGATGGGGTTCATCGCATCTATCGATGCACACGCTTCCTCTATAGGCGCCATCCATTCGCCCTCTATGTGCTCCACAGGCCGGGACCAGATGTTCCGCCAAAAGGCAATGACATCTGTGACATTCGGTCCTTGGACAGTGGAGGGGCCAGCTCGTGTCTCCCATGTACGATAAAACTTCTTTTGGTCACTCCCAAAGAGACGATTCTGGCGAAACCTTGCCGCTCTCTCGGAGTACCGCCGTATCCGACTTCCCCAAGCCGCAATTTTCTGTTTCAGGTCATCGATGCGCTCCGACACTTTTCGCATTAAGGTGGGGTCTGCAAGACTGAAATCGATCCCCGCCATTGCCATATGTACAAAATGCATCACCCTCGGCCTCGTATTGCCTGACCTGAAACTAATCAGTTTGCCGATGAGGACTCTGGTCTCAGCAATACGTTTCTCAATCCTCTTACGCCACGCCGGAGTCTCGCTGTGCCGGGCATTGGTATGCCGTTCAGCTCTCCCAGTGGGCACTTTGGCGCCGATGAATCGACAGACCGCCAATGCGGCGCCAAATAGGATCGAGTTGGTATCGCTGAGACTGCCGCTTTCTTCCAAGTATGGAAGAAGCATTTGGCTTACTGCCTCAACGACATCCCGATTTTTACGACTTAGGGGTATCCTCGGGATTTTCGGCCTCTCCTCAAGTGGGAGCTCGCGAAATTCGAGAATCGCCTCTTCAAGTAATCCCCTGATCTGCTCTAAATTCTGGGCGGTTGCGTCGTCTACCCTTCCCGTTTCATCAGGAGCAGGACTGGCCACTGTAGCATTGGGGTCGCATATGGTGCTGCGCGCAATGCTACTCCGCCTTCTGCTCCGCCTTCTGCTACCGGGACTCATAGACGACACAACCTCGAGTCGTAGTTGACCGAGTTCTGCTGGAGTAAAGATTTCTCTCCGAAGAATAAAGCGAACTCGATCTGCCAAATTTTGCGCCGTAACGGACAGCGAAGGCTCCAGGGTATGAAACGCAGCAAGCAATCTTGCCCGATAACCCGTCCCGCCGACACCTGTCTCTGTCGCCCTGTAGTACGCGCGCATGATGTTTTCGTTTTGTGGAGTAGTCCACCTCATGCGGCGTACTCCACCAGCGGCGGGGACCGATTGCTGGGTCTGTGAAGACCCTGCCGGACCCAAGCCAGCTGGTGGTGATGGTGGAGTGGGCCGGCGAGATGGTCGTACCGGCCCTCGGGGTTGGCTGGCTCGCATTCTGCTCGGCCCGGCGCCAGCTCCGGGCGAGCCCTGGCGACCCCCAGGCAGCGGCCCTATACGCGCTCTATTTACTCCACTCATCATAGTACAATAGGCTTGATACATCAGGGGTCGCCCAATTCCCTGATGGGTCCGTTAAGATAGATTGCACCCACAATGACGGCAGATGGAAAAGAAGCACGGACCAACACTTCTCGCCTATGAGTAACATTTTAGGTGCGGACTAATTGCACTGATACGGCAAATCCTCTCACTAAACTCGCCGCATCAGTGGGCGATGGGGTCGTCACATCCCTACGCCATTATTATTATTATTATCTTTCATGGAAAATATATTGTAAAACAAAGAACTCAAATAACGTGAGAAGGTACAATTAAAACAATATAACCTAAAAATATTACTTATAATGTACAAAATTATTTATTATACTGACGTGATCAGTAGTTTTCTTTATATATATATACTTAATCTATAGCAACAATTTTAATAAAAAGGGTATACCAGCACCACCATTCACGGCATTCAATTATCATGAAAGTTTTCTATGATTTATTTTATTTTTATGGTTATTTTTTTAATTGAAATTTCATCGCTGCGATATGTCAACTTTCAATACTTACAGTTTCAAAATTAATGTTAAATAAAAAATTTGCAAAGCAATTAATTTAAAATGCTGCTTTTATTATAAAATTTTGCAAACTTAAACTGTAAACAGAAAAAATATAGAAGGAAATTTTGTTAAAAAAAAATACTTTACACAACATAAATAATTGCACACACATATTTTTAGACCGCGACAGATATTTTCTCGATTCGACAAAAAATCGATCGTACTTGCCAATTTCGTATTAAGTATCACTAAGAAACAAAACGCCTTTTGAATTGAAAAAAATTACCGCCATCACCTTTTTTACACTTCAATTTATTTTTATGTTCAATGTAAATGTTATTAATCAGTAAGAACACTACTGAAGCAACGAAACGTAATAGCTGTATGAGAAGTGACGAGAAGTGGCGTCATCAAGGCGAAAAGGGTTTAAAGTATATAGTAACGTATTAACGACAAGCGTCTCAGTATTAAACGGTTAGGCTTCACATGATTATTCGACAGGGGAACATATTTAAGCGCGTCTTACGTCAATACGATGTACAATAAAATGTTATTCAATATCTAATCATGTGTATAATTTATTCAATCAAAGTGATAATCGCAAGCTTTTTATTATTGATTGCGTAAAGCTTAGTTGTAAATAAATTAAAGCCATGAACTCTTCACAGGGTCATACAGATTATAATATTTGAAAATTAAAATAGGTATAAACTTCAGCACCTAATATAAGCCCCTCTATATCGATTCCAACATCTAAGGATTACTCCTTAACTAAATCTTTAGTGTTTAGTGTAACTTATTTTATACTAGCTTTCCGCCAGCGGGGTCATATATTATACATGTAAATCTTCCCCTTGAGTCACTTTATATATTGAATAAAACCTCATTAAAATCCGTTTTGTATTACAAAAGATCTCAGCATACAGACGACATTACGAAAAGAGATGTTTTATACTATGTATAGATTTGAAACTACAAACATGTTCCCAGTTCTATACATAACCTTGACGGTATTCATAGTACTACAACAGTTACCGAAGTTTATTTATCGAAGTTTATTTCAAGATACGCATTGGGCTAGCGTGGAAGGTCATGGCCCATCCTCCTCAATCGATTCGTCTTAACCTTGCGAGTGTCACTAAAGACATCAAAATTCACCACAGCGACAACCAGACGCCAAATTAAAAAAAAAAATCAATATGAAAAAAAAATCGATGAACTATGTCAAGTGGGGTGTTGTTGAATAGGTATTTTAAAATCATCCTTAGGTTCCTTTTAATTTTTTTTTAATTTTAAATAATAGTTTAGGATATACATATAACGATTAAAAGTTGTTTGACAAAACAATCATTCTCGCTAATTTTCCTACTTATTGATTAAGTTTTTATTTAAAGTATAAACGATATACAAAAAAAAACAGTGAAAAAGTAATAATATGAAGCATGAAGAAGAAATATTTTGGTAAAAAAATAAAGCAAGGGAAACCCACTTGGGAAGGCTTTGGGAAGATGTGATTGGTAAAATTTGAATGGGCCTCGACTGTCAGTCGTTCTGTTCTGTATTACTTAACAGAATTCTAAACTACTGGGCTTGTTGCTTTCTTTTTGGTTTTTATTTAAGTTAATTTTTACATTAAAATTCGTTTTTACGCAGTCGAGTTTTTTGTTTTTCTCAAAATTATTTACAGATGAGACTGTGAAGTTCCGTCTGATACAAACATGCTTCGAGGGTTTAAAGAACGAGGTGTGAATAGACCCTTATAGGTCTACGCACACTGTATCAGTGGTAGCTACAAAACTCACCAACTCTACTGCCGACGGTTAAAGTGTCCAAATCTAATGGATATCCGCTGCGTACACATTCACCATCCTTCATCATAGCAGCACCGCTCAATATATAAGTGTCCCAATTTAAATCAGTAGCTGTGCCAGCCACGGCACCTACTCCACCATTGCTTTCTAAGTCGTCCGGCCGTATTGCAGTTACTCCTGAACAAATAAAATATGTGTGTTAGAATTTTGTCGTTATCTTTTATTTTATCACCTCAAATTAATAGCATTGCATCTCAAAGAAAGTGCTAACACAATGCTGTTACTCTTATAGCTGCCAGAGTCTGTAATAATAATAATCTTCTTAATCGGATGAAATACTGAGAATAAACCAGATACAAGACGGTATAAACGACAGCAGATGCAGCCGCCACTAACGGCTTTATCTACGTTACAATAAATCAATCTCTGCAGTGAAACAAAATGACATCTCTGAATCTTGTGGAACCCCGGCATGTACCCCTATCAATAATAGCATAGGCCGATGATGATCCTTACCTATTTCTAAGCTGCCGATCCAGCAGTCGACCATTTTGTCTATACGCAATTCAAACATGTCACACTCTCGCAACGGCCGCGAACTGAATAATACTGCGTCATTGAACTCCGAGTAAACCGTACCACGGTACGCGGTCAGTCTGTTGCGGCTAAGGTGAGCGTTGCGTCCATGAACGCGATGGAAGCACATTTCACTAAAATATAATCTGTATTTGAATTTCAAACTAAGTGTATCACAATAAATATTCTTATTTGCCTTAATTTTTATACATATATAATGCTTCATAGAAGAGATTATTAAAATCAATAACAGGTACAATTTTCAAGTTATAACGATCTACAAAATGTATATAAGAAGTGAATAATGAGCTTATTTACTTTAAGATGTAAATATCGTGAGTATGATTAAAAAGGAACTCATATATATAAATTAATTAGGTATTTCAATTAGCAAGTACATAGCGGCAATAGAGTTTTAGCATATAAAATCGACATCCCATCCATCATCAGTCTTTAAAATAGAAATACTACTAATAACTTGAAAAGAAATTCGCCATTGAGTTGAAAGCATTCAAAATAATCAATTAAAACAACTCCAAATAGTGTCTCTCAATAAAAGTTTAAATATGTCTGTCTATTCTCTACATTTAAGTCAACTTACGGATAAACAGTGGCGTTGGATTCTGTAGACAATGGCGATTCTGGTGAGAACGGTGGCGGCATATAGCAGTCTACTATAGTCGCTTGCGCAACGCGGCCATATAGATCTATAACGTATATATTTATCGTTGAAAACGTGAAAATAAAAAATAAATATTATGTTACTTACTAATTAACGTATTTAAACTTGTAACACATTTTGTATAGTTCGAAAGATAAGTGATCACGCTAAACAATCATTCCGTAGTCGATATCCGTTCAAATAATGTAATGAACATGTGATCTTTAATATTTCCAATCTCAGAAAATTTCAGATAGATTCTTTTATCCATTATAAAATTTACAGTACGTGGAAAAGAAAACAGCTGACTATAGAGTCTATAGTTAGCTATTTAAGTCTATTAGTATTTACTATATAGTTAGCTGTTAGACTTTCTTCTATAATATAGACTTACCAACTATTCCGAAGACATGTTCTGGTATATTGAACGCAGCAGGACCCTGATCGACGCCGTTAACGAAAAAATGCAAAATACCCATATCTTTTCGCATTACACCGACAGTGTCTCCTTCCTTATAAGAAACATAAAATAAAACACATTAAAATCAACAAGCAAATACTGTAAAGTTTAAATGTATAATTTATATTCCGTTTGGGAAATCAAACCATACATATTTCGAGTAAATGGAAACAAATTGATTTCTCACCACTAATCTATTAAGATTCCTGACGTACTGCGGTATGATTATGGTTCCGTCGCGTATTACGTCTTCTCCAGTCATAGCCCAAGTGCCGGATCTAATTTTATACAAATGTTAATAAATAAGAACTAGCAAAACCAGTGTATTTTTCTTTTACAGTACAATACAATATAAAATAATACTTCTTAGTTGTTTCTAATAATATAGTGTATAAAATAATAGTTAAATCTATGTATTTTTGATTAGTATAATAAATAATATATTATCTGTGTTATTACTATTAATAAATCGATGTCGCAGTAATTAGTGCTTTCGGCCAGCATATGCAGAGTTCATACCTAATGAGCTGACGTTAAGTGAGGTTAGGTGACTTTTAGGTTGTCATCGAAACTTTATATGTTAAGCTCTTTCGTACTTCGGACTGCATGGGTAAACAATTGATGTCTGCTGCATTTGTTACGATTGAACACTTATTTGTTTATTCATTAAAAATATCTATACCTCAGCATTGGAGACATTAATCAGATGATGATAACCGAATGATAATGCACGGTCACAACACAGAAAGAATCTCGTTTAATGATCCAGCATTATATATCTCTTTCACCAGTGCATAAACATATCGCTCGCACAGATGCATCTAGCCAATTTTGTCACCGTAAAATGAATAAGATATCTGTCATGTCGGTAAGCACAAACGTAGGGTACGAAATTCTTTCTGTTCGGCGACCGTACACCTTACTTACTTTGTATCACGAAAAATAGAGTAACACATAAGTATCGAATAATAACAAATTAGCAAAATTAAATTAAAATAGTATCACTAAAACCAAATACAAAAGTTAGTATCGATAACTGTAACAGACAACAAGTAAAAACTCACTTAGCATTGCTCATTTTGAATGGAAACTTGATATCGTTTGAAGAATGCTGCGTGACCCCGATTTCAATGCTTCCGGCCCACTTGGGTATGACTAGATCCAGCCTAACTTGGAAAAGCTCACCAGTCCTAAGCGTTCTATTCGTCATTACTATGCCGTTGTTGAAGTATTCGAAAGCACTAAAAGAAATATTAAACTGTCGTATAAACTGCATACGTTACATTTATTCACAGACTAAATAAACGATACGATTAATAAAAAGCTCCCTAAGAAATATAAGCCGTGTATCCGCTAGACAATATTGGTCATGTCATGCTGTCTATCCAAATTATAACCAGTCGTCAACACTTGTGACCAAAGAAAATGACGGCGGTGGGTTAGTATAAATATAATGTGTTCAACGTGTAATAATTTAGAAATGGACTTCCACGAATAACACTTTTTCAATTAATTTTTAAATTTTTTTTAACAGTATCCTCATATTCTCATATAGTTTGGACGAGACATTATAATGTATGTAATAAAACATTGTGGTACTCTACTGCCCTAATATTGAAAATTTAAGGCGCAACTGCATGTTACACGGAAACAAACAAAAAGTTGCCTAGTGGATGTGTATCCACTTAAGCTGTGTAGCTTAAGTCTTTAACTAAGTTAACTTGATCTTAAGCTGTGTAGCTTAAGATCAAGTTATCTTTTGATTTTCAATTAAGGTATAATACAGTAATAGTTTTCTAATTTACTTATTACGAATTTTTATTTAACTTTCCGTTAGTTAGTATGCCCCATCAAGTTTGGGTTCATTTGATTTTGACAAGAACTTTGATTCGAGATAATATCCACAATCTAATGATGGAACTAGAAGGTGGCTATGGAATCTTTGTAATTAAATAAAGCAACCCAGCAAGTTTCATTTGTCTATACAAACCCCTACTACTAGAAGTTAGTTTGAACAATCATTTTCATTGTTGAATAAAATACAAACATTAAGTTAATCTAATCATAAAAAGTAAATCTTTATTTCACTTTTAAAATTACAGACAATGGTGACTATTTTAAGAAATTACAAGGAAATTTATGTAACTTAGTAATATGAGCCACATCTCCCAAACTAGGGTCAACCTGTATTTTGGGAGTTGCGATTCCTCCAAAATCGTTTATTTATATATCCTCGAAACCATTTTTTTTTTTATAGTGATCAAGCTTGTTTTTTATTTACGTGTATTCATGCGTGTGTAAGTGTGTGTGTGTGTGTGTGTGTGTGTGTGTGTGTGTGTGTGTGTGTGTGTGTGTGTGTGTGTGTGTGTGTGTGTGTGTGTGTGTGTGTGTGTGTGTGTGTGTGTGTGTGTGTGTGTGTGTGTGTGTGTGTGTGCAATTATGTGTACTTATGCGCGTTTTATATTTACTTTAAAAGACTTTCTGTTTCGTGATAATTTAAGGTTAGAAGCTTATTTTGTACTATTTGCTTTACTGTGTGTTTTAGTTTGCCATTTATATCATCTGTTTTGTTTATTTTATTGTACAGTTTTGCGCTAAGGGCAGTATATTGGTGTTTTGCCCATGATGTCCTGCATGTATCCTGTGAGCAAACCACAGCTCCCCTTCGTCTATTTGTAGTGTCCGGCTTGTAAGGTAATGATTGGTGCTTTTGAAGGATTGTCCTAAGAATATAGAGCTGTCTTACTGTAAGCACTTGTGTTTCGGAGTACAATTTATCAGTCGAATATGTTCGTTTCCTAAAGGTCATAACTTTAAGAATCGCCCGCTGAGCCCGTTCCAATTTTAGAAGATAGGTTTTGTTAGCACCACCCCAAACAGTTAAACAGTAACTAATAATTGATTGGCAGAGACCAAAATACACCATGAGGAGGGTTCTGTTATCAGCTGAGTGTCTAAGGTTTTTGAAAATATAAATTAGTCTTCTGACTCTTGTTGAAATTGAGCTAATTTGAACCTTCCAGTCAAGCGCATCATCGAGGTAGACACCCAAATAATTTACGTTCTTTACAATATTAAGCGTCCTGCACATACATGAATCCATGTCAGAAGTTAGAACATTAGTGCGAAATTTATTGATTGACAAAAGTAACAAATCCGTGACCCTTAATATTTGAGAAGGCAAACTACTTAATTACATAAAAAAAATATTGATTCGTGCAATACTATCGGCAATAGATATTAAAAATCTGATACTCACTTAGGCCTATGAGCAGTCTTACCATCGTTAATAATAATAACATTCGAATCACGCAGCGTATGAAATAAAAGAGTATGTTCGTCTAAGTTTGGTCTCAAACGACCTGAAAACACATTAAATTATCAAGTAATGTATCATTTTATAAACTGCACATATAAAAATTTTCGTAATTAAAGCAATTCAAAATGTTTTAAGATCAGTGCAAATCTGTCTTCCTTCAAGCGGTTAACGGAAGTAGGAATGCGTACTAAAACTCGTGCATGTAAGCATGCCATCAACTCACATGCGTGCAACATTGCATGTGCTTTAGTCAAAACTGACAGATGGCTATATTTTCCGCGTATATCTTGACAAACAAACAAAGCGTTTAAAGTGCCAAGCTGCGTGCGACAAAAGCGATGTCTACGCCAGTGCGCTTTCAATTGCGTCATGGAATTCAATTTACGTTTCTTTACCGTACGTTTGTCGCATGCAGATTGTCACCTCAAAGCCCTTGATTAGATGTCTAGGAAGTCGAACTGACAGCTGCAATCAGTGCCAGTTAAACTAAAACGCATCTAACCTTGAACACGAACTCACCGGTGAAAAATCAACATGCGTTAGAGGCGTTACGTTGTGGTAGAACTAGTTTAAGCGCATGAACGCAAGTTAAAATTTAACTAAACATAGCTTGTTTTAGCTTTTGACTAACGGCTAATATTATGATAGAAATGAGAAATTGTAAGGAATATTGTAATAAGCAAAATCGAGGGATGCTATGAATGAATACAGGAGAGATACTAAACAATTTAACAAATAAGAATATCGGCAATTAGCAGAAAAAAAAATAAGGGAGGGTGAATTGTTCAAACAAAACAAAAAATCTTAGAAGAATACTTCCGAGCCCATAATTAATTATTTTAACTATTGAGACTTCAATTGTATACTGAAATATGTTACTTTGTTAGATTTAAGTATTAAAAACAACGTATTCTTTATTCTAAAGTCTGTTGTTAAAAATAGCGGATTAGAACCTTGTAACATCTTTGTCTGATAATAATAATTTGTTTTTAAATTATAATAATTTAAATCTCTTTTTATTTAGACAGTTTGATGCGTTGTAGTATTTTGAGTTGCAGAATATATTTGCTCTTTTACATTTTTATAATTTTTAATACTGTTTTCTCTTTGACCTTTGTCTAATTTGACAGTCAAAGACCGAAAGAAGTATATATTTGGGACAATACCTTATCGACCTTTGATTATACTATCACATATTAAGAAACCTCTTAAACTTATTTGCGGAATCATTCTACCAATAAAAATGTACTCTAAATTAATTTACACAGTGTTGTTTATTAATATATATGAATTATTCAAGGTTCGGATGTAGGAAATATTAGGAGTCTGTCTTACAGCCAGTTGCACAAACGTCCATTTAATTTTTCATTAGTTTAAAACGACATCACCTATACAAATTTGACATTAATTAGAGCCTAAGGCGTTTAAACCTTAATGGACCTTTGTGCCACTGGTTCTGAGCCTGTGAGTACCTAGTGTATTTGAGGGAAAATAATAAACAAGCGTAACTTAGGATACCGTGATACCAATATATCAACAAAAACTTAACACTTACACAAAGATGGAAATTGGTACTGTGTAGAAAGTACCGACGACGGTGGGTTTACATTACTGTCTACATCTTCACAGGGGTCGACGATAGAAACCTGTTGGAAATATATTAAAACAAATATATATAGACATTAACCTTTTATCTTATACCACTCTCTAGGTTATGACGTCCTAAGTGCCCATATATTACTATCCTTTTTTTTTGACGCTGGGAAATGCATTACTGCATACCCCGGGTCGCCAGCGCGGCTAACCGGGGATATGTGGGGCTCCCCCCTGCGGACCCGCCCCAGAATGGGGCTTGTCAAAGAGCATGGATATACCCACTAAAACCCAGCGATGACCCTCGCACGGAAGGCGATGCACGGGATCAGCCCGGTGGCCGTACACCGTGCGATCCGCCCTCATTTCGGCTCGTTTTCGGGTACGTCTCAGAGACATTCGAGACGCACCCCTTAGACGAGGCGGAGGCATGCAATGCCCGACCAGCGTGCAAACCCATCTGTTTCGGAGGATCCACATAGACTGAACTTTTTTCGTGGATCCCCCCCACCCCACCCCCTCCATATATTACTATCCTTGTCTAATTGAGATTTCGAATGTTTAATTATTGAAATACATACATTTTTATTACAGATTCTGTTTATTTGAATATAATAGTAGGTATGGTAAAAAAAAAATTAAAACATTATTAATGAATAATCCAAAGCTTTATCTTTTAATTTATTTATTTACCTTCACCGTCATTCCGTACAAATCGACGACCCCCCACACTTGGGGCTCCACTTTGTCAGTAGCGACGCCTTGATCGACCCCATTGATGAAATAGTGAAGTTTTCCATTACTTTTTCTCATCATTCCCACTGTATCCCCCTCCTACAAAATAAATTGTAACAATTAACTATGTCATTGTAGTTAGATCATCATCATCAGACTATTAATGTACCCACCGGTGATATGACTATGGATGTAGTCATAGGAATTAACCAAAATAGAAATAGTAGTAAATCAAACTAAATTAGAAATAGTAGTAAATCCATACGATAATAACAAGCGGAAGTATAAGATGCGTATTACAATGGAATTATATCATATTGCTATAGTTCCAGCCAGACAACAATCGAAACATTAGATAGAAAGTCGTTGATAAACAGAAATCAAATAGTTACACAAAAATATAAATAATAAATTAATGAAAATTAAACATACTCTCAATTCGTCTAGATTGAAATTCCCATACTCCATGCAAGTGCCGTGTCCATTGAGCAACACCTTGCAACCAGACATCATAATAGTGCCTGTATCCATGTTTGTCATTGTCGATGGGAATCTGATAGTGGCTGGATTGTGTGTAGTTACTCCCACCTAAGAACAAAAATCTTTGTATTCCATTTACTTATATATCTTTAGAGGCTTTTCTGTCTACGTCCATAATGTATATTTACCTCTATGCTCCCACTCCATTTATCCACAAGCCTGTCTATGCGTATTTCAAATAACTCATTGTCTGCCAAGGGTCGATGAGTCATCACAACACCGTTGTTATAATCATCCAGTGGTCTCGCTCTTTCGGCAGATCTATATAATCATAAGTTGTAAAATAAAATGAACAATCTACTTAGATATGGACATATGTGTTGTTAGTAAAATAAAAAGGAATGAACATGTCTTATAGTAAGACTATTTTTCCGCCACATTGGATTATGTGGTTGTTAAACCCTAACTTTTCCTCAGGGGTAAAATTTTATTAGCTTTATTCTATATCATAATAATTCTTATGACAAATTACAGCACAATCCATCGTGTAGTTTGAACAGTGTGGTGTAAGATTATTCAGTCACTTTAACCTTTTATATACAATATACATATAATATAAACTTTCTTTTTAGGTGTAAGTCATTACATAGATTTTAAGACTTACTTATTATTGTTTGATAATTTGACTAGAATTCCACATCGTGGATGAAAACGAAGTCGATCTTGAGCTGAAAATTATATTTAAAGTTACTAGAGATATTCAACATTTCAGTAAATACATTCTAATGATAAAAATTGTCATTACAATATTATTATTACATTTGTACATCATATAAGAAATTAGTAGTATATAATATATTATAACCTACCTACAATTGCTAAATTAAAATTACAGAATCTTTAAAAAATATACCACAATATTCTATAATTATTTATTAGAATAATTACAGATAAAAAATGTTACAGAAATTACCCAATGCAGTGGCACCTTCTGATGTCATCGGTATGTAAACATTTTGAGAATCTTTGGATGCACATTCCGGTAGTGCCCCTGCCACATCCATCTCACTTGAAGTCAATGTATTATCATTGTTAGGATCCTCTTCAATCTTAAACAACATAATTTACTCTGCTACTTTCAATAATTAATGAAAACTTTTTGCTAAATATTTGTTTGGTAAAAGGTAAACTGGTAGTGATACTGTTTATTATTGGTATTTTGTTTATTAGTGGAACTAATTAGCCCAACAATGACATATGCAGAGGGAGCAATGCATCCCTTTCAATGTTGTGATGCAGCTCAGGTGAGGAGACAGTATTCCACCTTATTTGTATTGCTGTTTTGTATTACATTGTAAGATAAAGTGATCATAAAACAAATGGTAAATAAATAAATGTATCTTAGTAGTTAATGTAATTATAATAAATATAAATATATTTTTATATGAAATTACTGTTATTAATTTACTTTTATATGAAATTCAACATGGATGTATTCTTTATCAAATTAACTTTCTGAGGTCTAATTGGTAATTTTTAATGGATATTAAATGGGTCACATGGAGTTGACCATAAAGTTAATTTGGTTTATCATATTTATGTTTCTAGCAAGTCATGGTACTGAGTCAAGGAAAAATCCTCAAAACAAATGGCTCATTTACCTGGTCTAAGCTGCTCTCCATAATAGGCCTCATACTGCTTGAATGCGTTATTGAAACTTGAACACATTGACCATACAGATCTATTACAGCAAACACTTTTGATGGCAGGTCTCTCGCAGCAAGACCAATACACCTACCATTGATATAGAACATTAACTCTGCCTGATAAAACAATAAAAAAAACTTATTAATTTTGCTTACAACACCTAAACATGATTCAGCACTATGTAAATATATATTTTACTTATGGATAGTCTCAATAGACCAACCCTTACACAATGATACATGCATGCTCAAAAATACATCCAAAATTAAAACAAATTTCACTTCAAAAGAAGTAAACAAAACAATTATAATAGACATGTGTTTAATATAATTGAATATGATTCTGTGACACAAGATATCATTTATTAAAGAAAGAAAACATGCATATATTGCAACAGGAATAGCTCAGTCTTAACAAGATGTATATCAGGTATGGGCAACCTTGGACAAGTTGTGGGCCAAACTTTAGTGTGCAAATACGTTCATGGGCTGAGTTTAAAAGTAGTACATTTTAAAGTAATGTTGTAGTGCTCATATATTGGAAATGATTATCAGACATGAAATCTTACAGTCTCACAGGCCCAATCCGGCCTGCAAGTTGTTGTCCACCCAAAGTTTTTAATGTTAAGTGATAAACAAATTATTATTTATTAACTAGTTATTTATCAATTAATCATTAAAGGTATAAAATATTACTTGAAATAACATGAAATAATTATTCTTACCTTACAAGTACGCATCACACCTAAGCAGTCACCTTCACGGAGTGTATCAAGTTCAGGCCCATATGAATTAATAATAGTAACACCATCTTTAACAATGGAACTTCCTGACATAATCTAGAAGCATAAGAATAAAATGATAGAGAATAATCAACTTTACCATGAAATATACATAAATAAAATAAATTATTACCCAGGCTGTGTTACGTAGTTTTGTAGCAGTAGCTGGAAGTTCCATGTACTCAGGATCTAAAGTGGTAACACCAATTTCTAGGGATCCATTCCAAACATTCACCTGAAATAGTGTGCTTTTCAGCCTAAATACTAAATTGAAATATTCAAATTACACATACAAAATAAACCTCAAAAAAGAGAGTATTTTCGAGGATATCATATTTAAAACATTTTAGTAAAACACAAAGGAAACCTAGCACACTCCTCACAAAATACATGTACAATCTTACCTTTCTGTCTATACATATTTCAAATAATATGTCATCCTTCAGAGGCTCAGCGCTTAAAATCAAACCATGGTTGAATTCTACAAAATTTCGTACTGCTGTTGAATTATCGTTTAATAGCGTGACTCGGTCACCGCACCTTCGATGGAATCTCATTGCTCTATTTGTTTCAAGACTTACACAACCTTAATTTTATTAAATAATCGAATTTCAAATAATATCATTGCTACAGTCTCTTTTCTGCATTCATCCTTTTATTTACACAGGCAGCAACATAGCACCCACTAGGTGTTGGTTATTATTTTTATTCACATTTTTTGTTTAACATCATAATTCGAGTACCACTGTTCGCGTTTTGTAAAACCGAATCACATAAAATGAATTTATTCATTATGAATTGAAGAAGACTATAGAAGACTATAGAAGACTATAAAACACATAAGAACCCAAAACCCTAAACCCCAAAAGCTTTTTTATTCATGCTTCTAAAATGACACCTCCACAGACTACTTAGTAGAAGAACAACATTGACACACCTTTGAAGATTCTTGTAAACACAGAGCTTACAACTACACAAAATCTGAAACGCCCTAAAACACCGCTCTGTTTGTCTTATTATATTATATTAATTGTTTGATAAAAGTCTAAGTCACAAATTAATTTGCATTTCATTGAAATTAACTACCCCATTGTGTAAACAATACCTACATGGTAACATAATATCAAACTTGAGTGTTCCTGAACGAAGGAAAAGAAAAATGAATAATTTCCGTTTCCGCTTTTCTTAAAAACTTTTTTAAAGGTTACATTATGGGTCACTAGATGGCACTACAAGTAAACATTGATATTAAATACTGTGACCATGATTTTTTTTAAATGGGTAATTATTATCAAACCGTATTACAAGGTGTACCAAAATTCTGTAAAATTCGCATAATTTCAATTCTACTGGTACATATTCGATGGCACAATATCTATATTATAGAATTTTCGAATATGAGGTATAATATTTATCGATGCTAACTTTAAATGAAATAGGGTACTTAATACTGTTCATCATAAGTTGCGGATTATGATCATCCTTTAAGATAATAATCTAATAAAGTTTATTTCTTAGAATCTGCAGACAAATTATGTTAAGCTTTAGTAAAATAACGTAAAGAAAATGCAACATTTTTAGGAATTTTAATGAACGGAGAAAACGCCCTGTAATTCATTGTCGTCACAACCAATAACAGGTTCTGTTTACAGCATGTGGCGTCACACGTAAATAGGGAAGCTTTCATGTCAAATAAGTGTTATTACTGATACGCAAAATTTATAAAATTCGGAAATTGACCAACTCATGCTGGTAAATCTTAGGATATACTGGGAAATCTTAATGTTTATCGGCCTTCGGCCTTTTACAGTAATATATAATTTGATCGGGCCAATGTTGCAATCTCTCCATTAAGCGGTACCGTATTAACTTATCGTTACATCGAAGCATGCTTGTAAGAAAACTTCACTATATCAGTTCACCTCCAGGATCAGAATCCGAAGCCGATCCGTCAGCATTGTGTTGTCCACGTGTTGTCAGGCAAAGTGGCTGGAACGGACTAGGCATTTATATTAACAAGGAGTAATTCCCTCACCTTCGATTAGCCGATGATACATATAGTAGTCATAACCGAGATAACTGCTACAGGGTCCTTTAACTCGTGTTAAGGGGTCCTATAATCCGGGGACTCCGTATCATTGATATGGCTGATAGCTACAAGGTAGCTACGCCCCTGGCGTAATGTAAAAACCTCAGGATAGTTTTTAAGAAGGTTTTAAAACGAACAAGAATAAGACGAAGCTCATTTCTAACGTCCATGTTGTATCGCTCCCGTAAAACTTGCGAACTCGACAGGAGAAATTCTAAATCTAGGACATACCATCATATGTAGGTCCAACAGCGAAATGTCTTTTCCCAAATACCGCAGTGCCTGCCTTAAGAAGATTCGCAGGTGAATTGAAGTGACAATGGGCAGTGCACGTAGTTTGAAATGTTTTCCGACTACAGTGATAAATGAAATGATCGAAAAAGCGAAATACCAATTTTTTTACTTTTACCACGTCTTTTGGCGATTGATAATATTTCTTGATTATTACCATCTTAATGTGCCACGTTACTATATTCATTTCAATAAACTAATTTGCACTGATATTTGTGTAGAAAAATAATAAGGACAAAAATGTTAAAATTTAATTTTAACATAGGTTCTCCGTGTTATTTTTGATATTCGTGATAAGTAATTAAAATAATACCTTGGTTAAATGTATATAATATGAAAATCAATGAGTTTATACTCGTAGTACACATCAGGCGCGGTCGCAGCTCGAAAAATGTGTGGACTATGTTAGTCTAAATTGCACGATACACAATTTTATACCACTATTATGAATATAAATGAAAGTATTCTCTTTGTATTGGTTATAATAAAAGGTCTAGGGCTACCTCTGAGTGAATATTTAGAAAAGCACGAAAAGATAGCTAGGGGAGACCGGGGCTGAAAGTTCCGATTTTCATATAACATGGAATTATATGACGAAAATTATAAGGTTTATTTTTGGTACTTGAATATATTAAAGAATCCATATCGGTCTCTATAATAGTATAGTAATTTCTGCCAGTACCTGAATAGTTCTTTTTTTACAAAAATATTAGTGCAAAATTTCGGAAGGGAACGTTCAACCCCGCGTTGGGGCAAGTTGTTCCACGTATGGGGCAAGTTGTGCCGCTTCCATAATAGAAATAATATATGAGAATAATATAGGTTTGTTTTAAATATAACTGTCATTTTAAAGTCACATTTAGTATATATTAATGTAATGCTATAAACTACAAATAAAACAACAACAAAACATTACTAGTTACATCTAGATAAACATTTTGTACTGGTAACTAAAATTGAGATCTTTTAGCTTATAAATTTGATTACCTACATGATTAATAATAATTTAGGATACAACAATTCTAACTGAAAAGGATCCTCGAGAAAAGAACAATTTTTAAAATTAAAACATATTGAACAATTAAAACAGATTAATGTTTATTTTAAACTTAATATAAATTCATCAAGTTAAAAATCTTATCAGATCTATAACTGCACTTATTTTAACTAAATAATACAACTGGTAATAGTGAGATTACAACTTCAATTCTAATCAAATAACAAAACCGAACTTCTGACATCCATATTATTTTCATTTAGTACTATAATGGATCTAATATTAAATAAAATTAATTTTAATCGAGCCGATAAAATTACATTTATTTTAGTAGAATTACAATAAAAACAAATCATCAGTCTTGTTTTAAACATTATTAACTTTGACATCTAATATTCTAATTAATCATTAAATTGTTCATTTGACTGACAATTGGGATACACATAAGTAATATCAGCTTCATTTAAACACTGATCTGCTTTTGTAGCCTATGGTAGGATCATTACCAGTTCAATTTTTTTAACAAATCGCTGTAACGTGTGTTAAATTTCTAATTTCTGGCGACCGTTTTAATTTTTCTTCCATCTCGTATGGTAGCTTAGTTCAATAAAGATTTGGAAGTTTTCCCTCTCTCAGTTTTTCGTTTGTAGGTACCATCCTAACAAAATAGAAAAAGTGTCTTAAAAATATGATGACTTTGAAGGTCAATTCAGGTGAGTTGTTCCTTCAGGAGGGAACTTATAGCCCCAATTTAAGTTTTTGTATAAAAATTGTCATATTAGTAAATTAACGAAATTAATTGAAAAATCATTCAGATAATAAGATACCTAACTAATGCCACTCTCAAATAGGAAAGTTACACATAAATCGGTCAATAATAAATTAAAAATAGACTAAAAAAATTATATACGAAAAAATTTACTTGCGTGGTGTTTTAATGGCAAAGTATACACAGCCGTTCATCCGCCGTTGTGGAGTCTCTAAGATGGTCGCCAAGGCAGCGCGTCATCTGATGCTTAAAAGATGCACTTCATATGTGTGTACTACCTCCATCCTTTAAAAAGTTATAACTGTCGGAACAACTTACCCCGAGAACTTTCAGCCCGGCCTCCCCTACGTCAGCCTTTCTTATTCACTTTAACATGTTTTCTCTTAATCAAGTTATTATGCGCCTTGGCGTCGAAAATTTCAATGTGGAGAATTTCCAGAATTTTCAGTAGTCTGTATATTTAAGTAAATATCATCGTCGCGTACTTTGATTGTGGAGACGACCCTCTTAAAAATATCATATTTATTTCAATTTTTAGGGGATTTGTCAATTTCACGTGTATGATTTTGGAGAGCGATCTTATCTCCATGGAACTGCCCCTTCAAGCCATACTTAATACAAGTACTTTTTGTTTTATAGATTCTAGGTACCATATGCACTCAGCATTTAATTCCTTTGTTTGATTGCTCTGCATCTCGTTTAAGTGTAAATTGCGAACGAACTTTATTGCTATTTCCATTAGTCTCAGCGTGATTCTGCAAATTCTAGGGTAAATATTTAAATGTCATTGCCGCTGAGGAATTTAGCAGTTGAGCAAGTGCACTTCCATTTAAGATTTAATATTCTCTATCGGATGAAGACATCTAGGTAAAGAATGTATGCACTGTGTTAATATTATAAAGTGGAAAGGATTTGTTTATTTGCATTGAATAAGCACCGGAACTACTTTTTTTTTTTTCACCTACGGAAAGCTACATCAATCGCGGAAGCTATTGGCTACAATAAACAGCTTCTGCCCATCCTGCCGCTGTACGCAAAGAGATCTTTTATTTATCTGAAAAATAAAAAGATTATGAAATAAACTTTTTTTATTTATTTTTAACTTCTCCTTAAAAAACGCCATTAAAAAAAATTCGTTCTATTGCTCCTTTTAAAAAATTGCTTATAGGTATTGGGAGATCCCGCTATTCCATTAACGTAGCACTCTGTTCTGTTTATCTAAATTACTATATATATGATTTAAACTTACTGTACTCCAGTTAACTAAGGAGTATTCGCTTACTCAACTAACAATATAAAGTTATAATCACCGAAAAAGTGAGCATTCTAATGTGTCAAAATCATTAATTCGTAATTTCTATCAATGGTTTGCTGAACGGAGTGTCTTAAAGTTTCCTATCAATAGGATGCAATTTAAAAATGTCAGTATCGGCGATCTCCACTTAACTCTATTTTGATACTTGATTTTGTATCGATTAAATGTTATTTTGTATTCCGTAAGCACTGTTACTGTGATTTCATCTAAATAAACAAAACATAGAATCTGGCTAAATAAAAATGAGTTACTGATTATCAAAACCGTCCCATAACGGCTTTTCTACAATGCTCTGTAAACATGTAATTAAAAAAGCAAAACTGGGGAATAATACCTATCCCAATTTATATTTTTAATTTTCACATATACCGACTACCAGTATTATATTTGTGTAAGTTATTATAATATTGACCGACTTAAAAAGAAGGTCAACAATTTT